TATAATATTGGATATAGTCTCCGAACGATACCAAGGAACTCACTGTGTGCTGGATCGGGGGGGCGGCTTATAATAATGTCAAGTGCTGGTATTACAGACTGTAAGGCAGATGGCTGGTCAGCTAACCCATGTCGGCGACCAAATTGTAACCGAGTTGACTTTGAGGTAAGTTTATCCATCTGCATGCGTAGGTCCTGTACTTGGTAGTGGAACCGACCATGGCGTGCAATATCTCTTCTGAGATCAGCCCTTGTATCAAGGCTTGCATCACAGAACCGACAGCAGAGGTTAGCCCTTGGGGAAAGAAAACCAGCTGACTGTTGTTGCCCTTTCATATCACCTAGAATAGTAATGAACGGGGCCCATACTACTGTCTTTACTCCTCTAATAACCATTGGGCTTCCACGCTCAAGGGCCCCTATACATGTTCGGAGGACCGATACTGTAGCATCAAGCTGAGAACCATGGGGCCCAAGGGTTAGAGTATGACTATTCATGCTCCTTTGTCGCTGCTCAATACCAAGCCCAGCTGGCATCATATATACTCCAGTAACTGAGCGGTACATGTTGCGGTATAGTCCAAAATCGTCAATAAACATAATGAGGGGCAGTGACAGTACTCCTGCCATAACTGTAGCCATAAGGTACTCTCGGCCGTATTGCTTAATCTCTAGCCCCCCACGTATTGGTGTACTCTTCTGGATATCAACGATGCCATGGGCCTTGGTAAAGATCTTAGTAACTGCCCAGGGTGTCCGTATAGTACCATCACCCCACTGGATGCTAATATCGGGTCGACGGTGTAATACCTGGTTTGGCTGGACCCAGACTAAACCCTCGTTGTCAATAATGCGCTCACTTGTTGACAGCTTTCTAATTTCCTCCTGTAGTCCACGGGACTGGTATAGTATGTCGTTCCGATGCAATAAAGGCCTGATATGAAGGAGTACTGTATTGATAGTAGTAGACAGTTCCCGTCTATCACGCCCAACAAACACTACCTGCCCTGTATGCTTGGAGGTGGAGCTACAACAGGTCTGACTTTTGCACTTATACTGGACAAAGTCTGAGGGAAATATTGGCTCTCCACCTTTATATAGGGCAAAGTCGCTGCCACAGGTCCGAATTGAAGAGCCCCATGCACGGGAATGGTAAAACTCGGATGGATTGTCTACAATCTCGGCCATTCCTTGGTGTATTGGCTGACCGAGTGTTGATGATAGTATAGTGGCAGCGATAACCCGCGGGTCAAAGAAGTATATATAGCTTTGGGACGTTGCTGCATTGCCTGATGGCTGTTTATCCATCCGGACATCAACAACTGATCTTTGGAGCGGTAGTAAAGGAAGGCGACGACGGCACCACTTTTGGAGTGTTGCAAGGTTTTCTGGGAGCTGTCGAAACTCCTCATTTGGAAGAAGTCGTAAAACTTGGAGTAAAGCCTTATAAGTCTGCCGGGTAACCCGGTGTGTATCGCACCAGAGTCCGAATGCCATTGTAAAGTCAGATACTGGCGCTGAGCGAGGGTTCAGTGCAGATAGATCAATGACCTCATTGCTTGTAAAATGAATCTTGGGAGTGTTTTCACTCTCTACAGAGTTACTATCCGAGCTGTTGTCCCCCATAGCCATGCTATTATAATCGTCACAATAAAGAGCGTCCTTTGAACATGTATAGGAAGAGCCTGGCTCCATAATTGGCATATTAGATCCTGTGTTGGCCGGTTGATCGTTGGAGATAAAGGCAGGACTACTATTGCTGTCACTATCATACATTGTGTAGTAGTCTTCTGGCTGGTTTAATGTTAGCGAGGGAGGTATTATACAGGTTTGGATGCTACTTGTTTCATTATTAGGAATAGGAAGCTGCAGGTGTCATCTCCGTACAGCCTCTGCCTGGCCTATTTGTGTAGTCCGATGTGCAACATGTCTTCGAAGGTTTGCACTATAAGTTGGCCACTTGCGCCTTCGCCGACGATTTGGATTGCCAAAATCCTCAGCTGTATATGTTGTATCTGGGCTTAAGTCCATTATGATTCACTATATGTTGCTTGAAGACCTCCTGTTGAATACGGGGGTTATATTATAGTAAGAGCCGCATACAGAGTTGGATAATACTACTGTGTTAGTCATCTTGGGTCACGTGCTCACATATATTTGCTCCACACACGCGTAATAGAGTGTTTGGAAATATACACGTACAACCACAATACTGTGTTCTCAAACTACTATATATTATGGTATAATTACAGAGTGTATAAGAATATACAATCAGTGTTTGTGCCCCCCTCTGAACATGTACAGAAGATAGGCTAATTCTTGGGTTGTAGGTTCCTTACTATGCCAAAGACATCACGTCGACCAAGACGCATTGCTAAGGGTGCAGTGCAAGCCCACAGCCAAGAGGATTACAACTACGGAAACTCCCAGCTACAGAATGCTCGGAATTCTGGGTCTCAATACCCATATGGATTAGGCCACCTCCTTCCACGCGACTCAAATAGTCCAGGGTTGTCCCAAAGCCAGCATTCTCCAGACTCGGTTGTTCAAGGAGCCCCGTTGACATCAATGAATTCACCTATCTTGCAGTTACTACAACACGATACACCCAATACAACTAGCCCCTCAATGTCTCAAACTGAGCGTGTCCAGGGGGGGTTAATGAATGCGGCCTCCTCTCAACTCCCTACCCAGCCAGATACTACGCTATCCTTTGAGAATGGTCATTTGGACCTGACTCAACAGCTTCGGTCGAACAACAACTGTCGAAACACTGTTGCATCTACGCTTCAACAGAGTAGTAGAAGTAGTAATTCTACTGGATCTACCAACTCATTACTAGCCTGTCGACCTACTGCAAAGCATACTAAGCAATACACCCACAGTTCCCATAATAGCACTATGGGACCGTTTCAACGGTCAGCTAGCCAGACGAAGCTCTTTGACAACAATGCGTGGAAACAAATCAGGAAGAAGTTGGATCCTGAAATACGACGACTTACCCTCCGATATGGGCGAGCAACAGACAAGGAGCTTGAGGCTATAGTAAATGACGTTACACTATCTGTTGACTTCGATGAGAACTTTGCGCTTCGAGACAAGGCTCTCTATAAAGCAAGAGGCAATACAAATACCTGGAAGCACCGGACTATTACCTGCATGATGGTATGACCCTCCAACCCAAAATATAGTAGCTTGTCTGAACATGTACAGGAATGTGTTGGTAAAACCCTTACAAAACCATCCATGTCGTTTCTGCTGAATGAACAAGACCTATCTCGACTCTTTGAAGTGTTCGAGTCTATTTACAGCGTTGTTGATGCAGAGAGTGTCTTTTGCTGGGCAAGTCGATATATACTGTTCTACGAGAAGATTGAGTCAAGTGAACTGCGTCCTAACGGAACAGCGTCAATTGCTCCAGGCCCGTTCTGGATTAAATGTACGTTGTTTATAAGTGGTTACTGTTTTGTGCTAACTATATTAGACTGGTTTGTGTCACTAGCTGTAAAGGTAAAGCTCCACCTTGACTTCGAACAGAACCATGGTGTTCGGAATGGGGTACCCAGACAGGTGCTCCTCAACTGGTTTGATGCCTACCCAAGAAACCAGCATACTAATATCGGCCCAAAACGATTGAAGTTCAAGGATATGTATGGACGACGGAGGAAAATGCCCCTTATAGACGACCAGATTGCACAGCAATCTATTGGAACACTAAAGGATGACATTGACTGGGGTTCGGCAGACGAGGATGGAAGTAGTAACGACAGGCCTGAGCAATTTATGGATGATGAGAATGACGATGACGATGACGATGACCACTACGACGACGATACCAACGGTGCTTATAGCAGTAGACGTAGTTTACAAGACGTATTCGAGGAGGGGTTATAATAATATAGTATTTGCTTCATTAGTATAATATAAACACTGTCTCCTTAATTATACCCTCGTAATAATAGAGTTGACCATATATCACGTGTATTTTGCCAATGTGTCACGTGTTTATTTTTGGGATTATTTAACTCTGACAATTGTCTCTTATACAGGTGTCTATTTATTAACGCTGTTAGTGTAACCCTGGTTTCAATACTATTCCTAGCATAGTGTCTACTACTACCTTATTGTGTAAGCGTGTTCCTTTATATATTATGATTGGCTGTTGGAATAGTGCCAAGTGGGAATAGTGGCACAATAGGCTTGGCAATAGAATATGTAGCTAGGTACAGCTTACGCAGCCAATAGATTGGCTGCGTAGCATGGTGTATATTGGTATTAGACCATTTTTTACGATAAATCCTGTCCAATGGAATCGAAAAATGGGCCAACCCCCCTAAGGTGTGTAATACACGAAGCACCTAAGCCCCACGACGGACTCTGCCGTGCATTGGCGGCGATTGCGTTTTGCTTGCCTAATTAGGCAATTTATACTTCTCATTCCAACTTACAATAATGGGCAAAAGATCTATATACCCTGCACCACCCCTGTAAAGATCTATATACCCAACGCTAACTATCAATAGATTCTGCCGCATTTAGTCAGCATCGCTGGCCCCATGCCTCACTGTAGCCAACCATGTTTCCCGCCTATAGGTCCCACAGCGGAGGCCAAAAAAGGAAAGGTTCTAGAAGGAGGACCCACGGAGGAGAGTTGGGGGGGAGAGGGAGCTTCTGGTGTTGGGCGCTGCTCTACTTGTGGGGAGCAGGGCCACAATATGAGAAGCTGCTGGTGCCCGCATGAGTAGGGCGCTTTCACGAGTATGCTTGGAGCAGCGGTGTCAAATGGAACATCAGGGTCAATGGACGGAGGAAACCGAAGGCGGCAGCAAGGTATATAAATCTTCTATTAAAGCTCAGGGTATATGAATCTACATATGTCTGGGTCCCAGACGCCTTTCCCCTTAAGTTTCTCGGGAATCGTCATTATCTTCTATTCTCCACAATATGTTTCTCAGCTGCCTGTCTCCTCCACGTTATTAATCCAAAAAATCCCTTTCCAAAATGCTCTACGCATCACAAAGCATGCTCCGGTACGCCATCAGCGTCATCAGCTTGTGTGCATTATCAAGCGTTCTCACTCCCGTCCAAGCTGCACCGGCGCCATCCACAGTCCACTCAAGAGAACTCTTCAGCCAGCAAGTTTTAGCCACCAATGGAGTCGGCCCAGCCCCATACTACCGCATCGTAGCTCTCGCAAATCTAGGCAACGGCGTTATTCTCGCCGCCTACGACGGACGACCTGATGGATCCGATTCCCCAGCCCCAAATTCCATCATACAACGCCGCAGCACAGACGGCGGCGACACATGGGGCGCACCAACCTATATTGCACAAGGCCAGCCTGGGTCCACGGGCGTGCAGAAGTACGGCTTCAGCGACCCAAGCTATGTCGTCGACCAAGACACTGGCAAGATATTCAACTTCCACGTCTTCTCCAAGAACGTGGGGTTTGGAAGCAGCGTGATCGGAAACGACGATGCGAATCTAAATGTAATTAGCTCGGAGGTGTCGGTTTCGACTGATGGGGGCGTGAGCTGGTCCACGGACCCCCAGAATCAACCTAGCTTGCCACCGGCGGCTTCGAGTCTTATTACCAAGGTAGTCAAGCCTCTGGGCCATACGGTCAATGGTGTAGCCAATGTTGGTGGAGTGATCGACAAGTTCGCAGCATCAGGGGAAGGTATTCAGCTCCGGTACGGTGCCCACGCCGGACGCCTCATCCAGCAATTTGTCGGTCGGGTCATCCAGCCTAGTGGTAACATCATATACCAAGCCTACAGTGTCTACAGTGATGACGGCGGCAGCACATGGCACATGGGATCGCCTGTGGGGGTTGGTATGGATGAGAACAAAGTCGTTGAGCTGTCCAACGGCAACGTCATGCTGAATTCCCGTCCAAGCGATGGCAGTGGTTACCGCAAGGTCGCTATTTCGACTGATGGCGGCATCACATACTCTACCCCGAAGAGTGAAACACAGTTGCCAGACCCGGCGAACAACGGTGCTATCATTAGAATGTACCCTGATGCCGCGGAGGGCTCGGCAAATGCAAAGATCCTGCTATTTACCAATGCGAATAGCCAGACTAGCAGGGTTCAAGGGAAAGCCCGGTATTCGTGCAATGATGGGACGACGTGGTCCGCTGGCCGTGTGTTCCAGGCTGGTGCGATGAGCTACTCGACTATCACTGCGCTTGGTGGTGATACGTTTGGGATCTTTTATGAGGGCCAGGGCAATACGCTCATATTTGCCAAGGTTGATAAGGCGTGGTTGGGGGTTTCGTGCTGAGGAGGAGTTGGTATTCTTAGCCAGGCCGAATAAAGGCGGCAAAGAGCGTGACTGTGGGGTGACAGATGTTGACGAGGTCACGATTCACTTTATCTTTATGTTCCACACTTCACAATGGATGTTTTTCAGTAGCTGCCAGGTTTGAGAATGTGAATGGCTGAACCTGTAGATGCATTCTAGGAGGTACTGCAGGCAGTCTATCTTACACATAAGCTTATTCCGAGGCATTCCGAGACCCAAGATACTAGTTCTCATTGCCCCTCACCTCGGGACCCATGCTTTCCATTTATTCAGTGAGTGTCTCTCTCTGACTCGACCTTCTCCTCCTGTTAGATGAAGTTAGTAAAAATTGCATTTATCGATCTAAGAAGACGTGCCTGTTCCTTAGTCTCGTCATTTTGCTCAACATCGTCGTCATCCACCTCCTCTTCGTCGTCGTCGTCCTCCTCCTCATCACCACTATCCGTAGTGTCGTCGCTGTCCGTAGTGCCGTAGCCATCCGTAGTGCCGTAGCCATCCGTAGTGCCGTCGCTAGCCAACACATTATAATCTCTATCTGAGATACAGATGCCATCGTCATAATGTTTCATCATCCTGCGAATAAGCATCTTCTTGAACTATGCATTGTCAGGACCGGACATAGCTAGCAATGTCGGTATAGCGACGAGATACATAATTCGGCATACACTTGTCGAACAGAGAAGGAAGCGCTGATTCATATCTTCATCGGTATAGTCTTTGACTCCGGGATGATCACCTATTTGGTTAGTACAGAAATATGAAGTGTTTGGGACGGGTAAGCTTACGCTTGAACCTGTGCTTCACGTTCCCACATTCGCCGAAATGTTCCAAGGTCCAAGCACGCACCGACGTGTCGATCAGCGCGGCCTAAAGTGTGTCAGTATGACCTAAAGTGTGTCAGTATGACCTAAAGTGTGTCAGTATGACCTAAAGTGTGTCAGTATGAGCGTCGTATTAAGAATATGATAAATAAACTTCTTACCTTTTCCTCCTCCTCCTTTAAGTTGGTAGACATGATCGTGTTGTGTGGAAGTGTTCTTTGGTTGTGTGGATGAGTTGCAAGGTGAGAAAGTTGCAACTTTACCAAGCTAAAGAACAATAAACACGCAAGTGAATTCCTTATCATTATTGCTTCGATAAGGATCCATACTCTAACAAAGAGTACCCCCGACAAAGCGTGCTCATATAATATAAAATACAGTTGAGAACTGTTTCCCTCTTATCTCCACCTCCGTACGGAGAGGAAACCCACAAGCCGTACCGTGCCGAGCCGACCGAGCCGCTTTGCATTCGGCCAGAGCGGATATACGTTCGTCCGAAGTTATTCAAAGGCACGCGGGGAGGAGGAGCGCCGGGTATCACCGCTCGCGCCACAAACAGGCGAGGCACGTTCTCACATCACCAGCGGTAGATTCACAGGCAGACTCACAGCAATAGCATTTCAGATCACAAAATACGATAGTTGACATGCTTTGCTTTGATTTGCTTTGCAGTGTCCAATACATTACAAGACACACATATATCATCTCCCCCATCCACGAATAAACGGGGATCAACCCTTCCACTCAGCCTGAGCATCCACCACCTCAACGCAGCCACGTCAGACCCACACCCACACACACCGGACTCATAATATCATATCCCACCCACCCCCTCCAAACATCCCAAAAGCTCCAAACCGCTCAAAAAAAACGCTCACAAGGTATCTAAAAAAGTTCCCCCAAACCCAGTTGCTCCTCAAGCCAACCCCTCCCCCCCCCGCTTCCCACCGGCCCCTAAAAATTGCCATTAAACGACCTCACAAAGACGTCATAACCCCCCCACCACCCTGAAGCCATCCAGTGTCTCCCCCATCACACAGCCTGCGTAATCTTCTTCCACCAACTCCCCCCACTCACCTCCCTCGGCCTCTCCCTCTCCCTCTCCCTCTCCCTCCCCCCCTTAATATCGGGGAGATACCTCCTCTCATCCCCCGCACTACTCGGCCGACTCCGTCCCTTCTCCCTCTCCGCGCGCTCCGCGCGCCTATTCTCGCGACGACGGCGCTTCGCCTCCGCCTCCTCGGGGGTGAGGTCATCATACCGGCTCGAGCGGCGGGTCTTCTTGCGCTCCACCTCGTCGGAGATGGGATCATCGACCTTCTCGTCGTGGTCGGGCTCTTCGTCCTCGGGCGGCGGCGGCGCGTCACTGTGCTCCTTCACCCAGCTGTCGGTGCGGGAGTGCGGCCAGCCGGGCTTCTTCTCCTTGCGTCGCGAGCTCTTGTGCGGCCGACGCTCGTCGTCGGTGGCGTGGCGGGACTTTTCACCACTGCGAGGCTCGAAGTAGGCATCTGGTGGCTCGGTGGCGCGACGACTCAGCTTCGGCGCCGTCCCGCTCTCTTTCGCAGCGCGTCGTTCAGCGTGCCGGCGTCGGCGCTCCTCATCGTCGGTGGGAGCCCCATCCATAGTCGACCTGCGGCGCTCCGATCGCTTCGCGCGAGGCACATCAGTATCATTATTATACCGCTCCAACGTAGCACGCTCTTCCCTACGAAGACGGTGTCGCTCAGCGCGCTCACCATCCTTCTCCTCTGCAGCCCTCTTCTCACGTCTCGCAGCGCGTCTCGCCTCGCGCTCTTCCTGCCTGCGCGCCTCTTCCGCCTCATCAGCCTTGCGGCGGCGCTCGCGGCGCTCTTCGTCTTTAGCCCGCCGAGCTTCGTCAGCCGCGCGCTCTTGGGCTTCGCGCTCAGCGCGCCTTGCTCGTCGCGCAGCCCTCCGCGCTTCGTGGTCTTCTTCCGACGCGCCGCCGCTCATAACGGGGTTATCGGCGCTGATGACGTCGGCGTCGTCGGTCGACCTCGTCTTATGGCTATCGCGTCGTCGCGACTCGCCGCCCTCATCTGGCCGGACCGAGCTCCTCCGTCTGCTTTCCGGTTTGGCGCTCGTCGACTTCCCCAGGAACCCGCCAAACATGCCGCCGAAGCCGGATTTCCTCGCCGAGGATTCGGAGCGCTTCAGTCCTCTGCTGCGGCCCTCGCGGTCGTCGGCGGGTCCGTTCGCATCCACCATGACTATATCGTCATCAACAGCCTGCTTATTGGATCGGTCAGTCATGGATCTTCTCTTGTGCCTCGGCCTATGAGGTAGGTCATCGCTTCCGGGAGCCATCGGAACGAAGGGCGGCGGTGGAGGAACGGCTTCCTCATCGGGTTGTCTAGGTACCTTTGATTTTCTTTTGCGACCGCCGGATTCGTCGCTGGCTTTATCGACCATCACGATGTCGTCGTCATCTACTTCTTTATCATAGTTAGCACTGGGACGAAATGATTCATCAAGCTCAGACATACCTCGTGACTTGATCTTACGATCCGACTTGCTCCTAGGGTTGCCAGGTGTAACTCCAAGCATCCTCGCCGCCTTAGACGACATCTCCGGAGGAGGCGACATCATCCCAGTATCCAGCGACTGGCGACGCGAACTCGTGCGCGCGCCGCTGCTCGACCTCTTATCGCGCGTAGACATGGACCTCGAGATGGGTGGTGTAGATGCGAACATGCTCGACAGACCCTTCGACTTCGGTTTCGGCGTCTTCAATGACTTCTCCTTGTCGGAGGACTTCTCCGTCCCAGAGCCTCTATCCTCCTTTTGAGTCTTCCTTGACTTAGACGCCTTCGCTCCCGATGATCGCTTCTTCTTCTCGGCCGGCGGTGAATTCTCGAGCTTCACCTCCTTCGATTTGCTCGACTTCTTCTCGTCCTTCTTAGTCGCTGCACCCCACGTACCCCACGACGCGCCGCCGTCGCGCACAACCTTTGCGCGCTCCTTCTTAGCGGGCTTCGCTTCCTTCGGCTCTGGCGGTGGTGTAAACTCCTGCGCAGGCGGCGATGGTGGTGGTGGTGGTGGTGGTGGTGGTGGAGGCGGGACGACCTCTACAGGTGCTTTGCTAGACTTCTTTGATTTCTTCTCTTTCTTCGCAGGCGCCATATCAATAATCTCCACTATTTCATCGTCAATGATATCTACAGGGAAGCTACCGGGCACAGCTTTCTTCGGGGAATCCTCGACTTCGACAACCTCGTCCTTCTTGCGCGATGACTTGGACTTCTTCGTATCATCCTTCGCTGGCGGCGACGCAGGCTCCTCCGGTGGTGGCGGCGGGGGCGCAACCTCGGCCGTCTCGAACGCGCGTAACCTATCAGCAATCTTTCCGCCTACTGGTTTCTTGCTCAGCGCCGATGCTTTCATTGATGAGGACGATGCGAGCTTCGCCGTCGCGGTGGTGTCTCTTAAGGTGGCACCTTCCAGCATCCCTGCTTTGTCAGCACCCGTAATTGCCTCCTTAGCCGACGACTCCTTTTTGGCAGCCTCAGTACCCTTGCTAGTCTTCTTGCTCGCACCCCAGAAGCTAAAGGCCCCTGCCGTCGTCTTGGCTGCTAGCTCCTTCTCCAGCGATTCGGCCGCCTCGTCGTCAACTACGTCTACAACTTCTGGCTCCGGCGCTGGTTCCGGCTCTGGTTCCGGCTCTGGTTCCGGCTCTGGTTCCGGTTCCTGTTCTACGGCTTTCTTCGTCTTCGACTTCCCACCCTTCTTGGCGGCGAGCTTGGCTTCCTCTTTAGCCTTTTTCGCATCCTCTTTGGCCTTTTTCGCATCCTCTTTGGCCTTTTTCGCATCCTCTTTCGCCTTCTTCGCATCGAGCGCGTCCTGGATCTCCTTGTCCTTGGCCGCCTGCTCCTCAGCTTCCTTTGCGGCCTGCGCAGCGGCCTGCGCAGCTGCCTCCTCCTCTTCAATCCGCTTAGCCTCAGCCTCTGCCTCTGCAGCAGCATCCGCAGCGGCCTTTGCTTCCTTCTCCGCCTTCTTCTTAGCAAGAGCAGCCTCCTTATCGGCCTTCTCCTGCTGCTTCTTGGTAAGTTTCGGTTTCTTGGCAGCGGCGGCGGCGGCAGCAGCCTCCTCCTCCTCCTTGGCTTTCGCTTCAGCTTCAGCAGCAGCAGCAGCAGCCTCCTCCTCCTCCTTGGCTTTCGCTTCAGCTTCAGCAGCAGCAGCAGCCTCCTCCTCCTCCTTGGCTTTCGCTTCAGCTTCAGCTTCAGCTTCAGCAGCAGCAGCATCAGCCTCCGCCTTCTCCGCCTTCTCCGCCTTCTCCGCCTCCTCAGCAGCTACCCGCTCAGCCTCGGCAGCAGCATCGTGCTCATCTTGCTCTGCCTTCTCCTTAGCCTTCGCAGCCTCCTTATCAGCCTTGCGCTGCTCAGACTTGGAGAGTTTCTTAGCCGGCTTAGCAGGCTCCTCAGGCTCAGGCTCGGTAAGATCCATCGAAGGCGGCGTCGGCGCAGGCGGCGGCGCATCAAGACCGCCCTTCTTCTTCTTATCCTTCTTACTCGTAGCAGCCCCCCACGTACCCCCCCACGTATCGGCTTCGGGCTCCTTATCCTTAGTCCCGAAGTCAAGATCGATAAGGTCAGCTTCAGAGACGACCTCCTCGATGACCTCAACAGGAGCCTTGCTGCCCTTCTTCTTCTTGTCCTTCTTGCCAGCACCAACACTACCCCAGATGTAATCTGTCTTTGGCTCTTCGACGACATCAGGTTTGATCGGCTCCTCCTCGACAACAGGTGCAGCAGCTGCGCCCTTCTTCCCCTTCTTCTTCTTACTCGAAGCAGCGCCCCAGCCGCTAAAATCGTCAGCGGTAGCTATGTCACCGACTTCGGGTGCAGCGGGTGGTGGAGGCGGCGCGGGCTCCTCGACCTTGACTTCAACAAGGGCCTTAGAGGTCTTGCTACCCTTCTTGTCCTTCTTGCCGAAGCTCATCCAGTCGTCGCCAGCAGGTTCGAAAGCCTTGGAGATCGTATCAGCCTCGACTATAGGCTCAGGTTCCGGCTCCTTAGCCTTATCCTTCTTGCCCTTCTTAGTCGTAGTCGTGCCCCATCCCCCTCCCCAGCCAGAAGTCCCAGAAGTCTCTTCCTCTATCTCCTTCTCAGGCTCGAGTGTAGGTTCCTTAACGACCTCCTTAGTCTCCTCAACAACCTTGCTGCCCTTCTTACCCTTTTTCTTAGTCGTAGCAGATGCCCATGACGCGAAAGCGTCTTCTTCGACGACCTTCTCTAGCTCGGGTTCGGGTACAGGTTCAGGCTCAGGGATGACTTCCTCGATAACACCACCCTTCTTCTTCTTCCTATCCTTCTTACTCGTAGCCGCGCCCCAGCCGCCGCCCCAGGAGTCTTCCTCAACCTTCTCCTTTTCCTTTTCCTTTTCCTTTTCCTTTTCCTTTTCCTTTTCCTTTTCCTTTTCCTTTTCCTTTTCCTTTTCCTTTTCCTTTTCCTTTTCCTTTTCCTTTTCCTTTTCCGGTTCAGGTTCAGGAACAGGTTCCGGTTCCGGTTCCGGTATGACCTCCTCAACAACCGCACCCTTCTTCTTCTTCTTATCCTTCTTGCTCGTAGCAGCGGCCCAGCCACCAGCCCAAAAGTCTTCCCCAACCTTCTCCAGCACCGGCTCAGGCTCCGGTACCGGTTCAGGCGTCGGCTCCTTCTCCTCCACCGCGTTCTTGCCATTCTTCTTATCCTTCTTCCCCACAGCACCCCACACGCCCCACGACGACTCCTCCGCTTTCTCGGGCTCCGATTCGGGTTCAGGCTCCTTGGGGACCTCCTCGATGGCATTCTTACCCTTCTTCTTCTTATCCTTCTTAGAGGCTCCAAACGACCACGCATTGTCTGCGGGCGGCTCCTCCTTAGGTTCCTCCTTAGGCGGCTCCTCCACGACCGGCTCGGAGATGACCTCAGCAATAGCGCCCTTCCTCCCCTTCTTCTTCTTCGTCGTAGTCGTGCCCCAGCTGCTCGCGCCCCAGTCGTCCTCTGCAGGAGGCGGCACCGCCTCCGGTTCCGGGACGACGACGGGCTCTTCGGCGGTGCGATCATCGAAGGAGAACACAGCGCCCTTCTTCTTCTTCTTATCCTTCTTCGACACGAGGCCGCTGACCCCGTCGTCCTCCTCCTTATTCTTCTCCTCCTTCGACGGCTCCGGCTCCGGCTCCTTGGTCTCCTCGTCGTCCAACCCGAAGCTGAAACCTCCCTTCTTCTTCTTCGTAATCGGCTTGCCGCGATTCACACTCCACGGATTATCCCCGCCCTCCTCCTCCTTCTTCCCCTCCGTAGCCGCCGCCCCATCCGTAGCTGAGAAATCCCAACTGCTCCCCGTCGTAGCCGCCCCCTTCGTGCCTGTATTCCAGCTACTCCCCCACGAGCCAAAACCCAACCCAGTCGTCGCCGCGGGTTTATCGAAGCTGAGATTTAGCGTGCCCCCATCATCCAGTTTTATCTCTTGGAAAGCGTCGAACACGGGGGCCTTCGCTGGTTCGGGTTCGGGTTCCGGGTCTGCAGCCTTGCTCTTCTTGCCCTTCTTCTTAGACTTCCCAGGTTCAAATCCTCTCCAGTTGTCTTCTTCCGGAGCGTCTTCCTTCTTATCGCCATCATCATTACCTTTCTTATCACCAGATCCAGCGTCGCCAGCATCTCCACCGCCCGCACCGCCGTCACCGCCGGCACTTCCCTCTCCCTCCTCTTTCTTCTTCTCATCATCGTCATCTTCCCACTTCGACTGCGCAGCCGCCTTCGCAGCCTGCTTCGTCTTCTTCTTAGCAGTCGTCTTGAAGCCGTCCTGGGAAGTCCAGTCAACAGCCGCGGCAGCCATAGCGGGGTCGGCGAAGATCCGCTCAGTCGGCGGTTTGCGGAGTGGGAGCGGGGTATCGAAGTGTGCGGCCGCGTCGCGGTTGTGCTCCGTAGCGAGAGCGTCGGAGGAGTCGGAGGGGTCGGTGAGGGGTGCGTCGAGGTCGCAGCTACTATCATCGTCGTCGTCCGGGTCGTTGGGGGAAGCGATATGGCGCTTCGGAAGCGATGTGACGAAAAGCCGCAATGGCCTCAAGGTTACTGCTTTAGGCTGTTGGATACCCAGCGCAAGAGCCACCGTATTCTCCTGTATGCATCGTTAGATCAGCCCGTTCTCGGTCCACACCGCCCTCCCTGTCTTGCCCATGCTGCTGCTGCAGCCCATCCCGCTACTGCACGAACAGCCGTGACAACACATGAAAAATTGGCAACAACAACAGGGAAATAATTGAAGTTTTTTTTTTTTTAGAAAGAGGGTTCAGGCAGCGCATACCCATCGTGGTGCACCAAGCATAGGCGGGCCGTGGTAGTAGGCATCGTGAGAGCGGCGCGACGCGACCCATGCCAGCGCAATGTGCTGGAGCCGGATACGTGTGTCGTCCTCATCCCACCCAATCGTCCAAGGCTCCCTTGTACATCCAAGGTCGCTCCTTGGATGACTTCCGAAGGACTGAGAAACCTCGGCCGCAGCCATTATGTGTATTCGAGGTCGTGGGATCGCAGAGAGGTGTCAGACTCATCGAAGCTATGTGGCGGAAGGTGCGCGAGCGAGGAGTGATCGTGGGACGCCTGCGACGCTTTTTTTTAATGGCGGGTGGAGAGAGAGTCGTGGGGGGCCGGAGGAGTATACTCGATCCGACTATACAGATGGTACCGTTCGATTTTTGGGATGAGATGACAAGAGGTAAAGAAGGACGAGGGACGAGGGACGGATGTAGTCGGGATAAAGAAGCAGCCGCCGCGCGACAGCAGGACACCACAAGGGAGGAATTCTGGCAGGTTTGTACTCGGTACTTTTTCGTTCGGGAATGTTGTACTCGTACTATATCAGTGTACTATGTCAGTTGTACTACTTACTGTAAAAATGTCTCCTTCTGGGACCTTCACTCACAACGATAAAATCATCCGAATGCCAGGCGGTTATTGGGTGGAGAGGCAAAAAGAAAAGGCTGGGGAGTATGCAAGGTATCGCCCAGTTTGTATACCGGATGGACCAACCAATACAAGCTTGGTAGACCAAAAAAGCCGTCGAGTAGCGGACAGCCAAGGACAACCCAAGACAACCCAAGGCAACCCAAGTGGAGGGAGGCGGAGGAAATAGTGGAGGAGGTGGAGGGAATAGTGGAGGAGGTGGAGGGAATAGTGGAGGAGGTGGAGGGAATAGTGGAGGAGGTGGAGGGAATAGTGGAGGAGGTTCCAGCGGGTTCCCTGTCAGTTCCTGCGGGATTTGACACTGGCGGGCGCTGGCGGGCGCTGGCGGGTGCTGGGTGTTTCTGATTTCCGAAATCTTTCATGTATCAGTCGCTGTGAGGAGGTGGTTGTATGTATGCCCTTATCCCACGCGCCTCACAGCTCACGCCCCAGCGCGCACTGTGACTCGCTGGCCTCCGCGGCAAAGTGTGGCTGTGGTTGTGGCTGTGGTTGTGGCTGGAGTGGGAGGGATGTGTGTGTCGAGTGTGGTGCCATGAGGTGCATGATGGTTGTGTAGCGTAGGAGGGATGGAAGGGGGAGAAGTGGTATAAGGGGGAGGATGAAGGGGAGGAAGGGCTGAAGGGGGAGGATGAAGATGTATGTATGAGGGTGCTAAGGCTGGGATGGAATTGGGAATTGGGAATTGGGAATTGGGAATTGGGAATTGGGAATTGGGAATTGGGAACCCTTCAAATCTCATCGGCCCTGTCCATCCACATCCAAAAAAGTTTCATAACCGACTACCTACTCTAATAAAAGGCTGCAAAAAGGCTGCAGCTAGTCTAATCCGATCAAAGGGTATCGTGACAACCAAAACAAAAAAGGTATCGCGACTAGAAAATAAAAACGTAGAAGCCGTCCAGAAGAATAAATACCAAGAATCAGCCAGACAAGACAAGACCCCACCGATAGGCCGTTACATAATGCCCCATATGTCGAAAAATAAAGACGCCGTATTTCATCCATGGTAATATCTCACCCCCTTCTATCAGTTCCCCCCCAAGCCAAGCCATGAAAAAGAATGTAAACCAAACCACCCCGTCCGTGCTGATCACGTGCTAACCCCCCCCCTCTCTCACCTCCCGCCATAATCACTCGCATAATCAACACGATACCCATCCGGCATCTGGCCCTGCGTGAACCCCGTCCCAGGACCACTCACATACCCCGTCTCGTCCCCTTCGTCGTAGTACTCGCTCCCACTAGCATCGAAGCTGCTCCTCCCACTCACATCATCCTCCATAGCGTCACCCTGAGGTAAGTCTGCCCAGCTCAGTCCTGCCAGCGCGGGGTACTGCGCCAGCAGCGCGGCGGGGAGTGTGTAGTTCCCGCTGGCATCCATGGGGAAGCCGTTTGCATCCATAGTCTGTGGCGGCGGCTGCTGGATATTCTGCGCCATATGCTGCTCATGCCACAGCCGCTGCCGCTCGGTGTGCTCTTCATCCAGCAGCGGCTTGATGCAAATTCTGCCCGCCTCGGAGCGGAAATGGCGACCGAGGGCATCGGCGCGAGCGAAGCGCCTACCACAACCCCATTGTCCGCCTTGCTTCAGCTCGCCCTTGCAGACGAACTTCTTCTCGCCTGAGTGCAGGCCTTCGTGCCGTTTCCGGTCGTGTTGCCGCGCGAAGGCCTTGCTGCATACGGTACAGACGAAGGGCCTCTCATCCGTGTGTGTTCTGAGATGGGAGCGCAGGTTGTAGGCACGGGTGAATCGCTTGGGGCAGAGTGTACACTGGAAAGTGGCAGGGTGTTTCTGAACGCGCTTCGGGTTGCCGTTTTCCGCACTGCCAGACACTGCTTGATACTCGGGGTCTGCGAGGCCGAGGATATAATCGCGCTGGTTTGGAATCGCGGATGTTGACTGCCGGCGTCGGTGGCCCGGGGTGGACGCACCGGCCCTATCCAGAGGAGACAAGGATCGACCTGGTGGAGATGATCCACGATCTGAACCGGGGCCGAGGTTGCTCGGAGTTCCTGGGCGGGAAAACTGCGAGGGTCCATTACCAGTAATATCGGAGCTAGCTCTGGGTCGTCGTCCTGTTCATGTTAGTATCAAAGTTCATACCCTAGGCTGATAGAAAGCGTCTTACCTCGTTGTGGTGGAGTCAGGGCATCTTGATCTAACGGTGCTTTCACCGGGAAGCTGTTTTGCCTCGAGGCCGGCGCAAACTCGATATTAATATCAGGCGGCGGCATCTGTTGTCCCTGACCCTGCTGTTCCTGGCCCATCTCGGCAAAATTATCCTGCTTGAAATGCTGCTGGCCATACATGTCCAGGGTAGGCTGTTGGATGTATCCGTTATTCGGCATATTCATACTCAGCATAAACGGGCTCTGCTGGTTCATTTGGCCTATCTGCTGCGGATCGAGTCGTGGTGATGGCTGGGGTGAATGAGCCGGGCTCCTGATATTCAAAGGGCTGTTCCCATGATGATGATCTGATAGCGAGAACTTCCCCATCGCTCCCAGGTCCTGGTAGATACCTTGATCCTGCGGGTGCACCAGCGGAGAATGGCGCTGGTCCGATGTGTCAAAGCTATCATGCAGTCCCAAATTCGGCGATGGCGCTAGGGAAGATGCAGAGACATCAGAGTATTCCGAGGGGGTCTTCCGATGAGTCTTGAATTGCTGTGGGATCATGCCCCAGTCTGTCGGGAGCTGGGCATTCGGGAACTGGGCGCTCTCTGGCTGCAACGAGGCGGTTCTCGAGTGCCCAGGTGACAGTGGGAATTGGTGCTGCTGAGCAGACGACGTCTGCGGAAGCTCTGCTGTGAGCATTTGGGGTGGTGTTGGTGTGTGTTGTGGGGGTGACGATATATCACCAATTAGATCCGCCGGGTTGACAGATTGTGGAGGCGAGTCGTTAATGTATAAAGAGGGATCGTAGATATCGTTCTGGGTCGGAGGATTCGGATATAGTGAGAAGTCTCCGCCGTTATAGTTGTTTACTCCGAGGAAGCTATCGTCGTAGTTGAATTGCTGGTTCTGGAACTGCTGGTTGCCGTCGAACTGTTGCTGGAACTCTGGCTGGGCGATCTGGTTTTGGCTCAACGCGTAAAGAGCTTCTACAATATTTCCCTGCGAGAACTGCTGGTTCTGTTCGACGTTCGTCTCAAATACTGGAAAAGTCTGGCCTTGCAAAAATTGTCCACTGGAATATTGTTCTTGAAGATTGCCGTTGTTGATAGCGAGCCCGAGGTTGGCGGGGTTGATATCGTCTTGATAGCTACTTGGCTGCGGCGACTGCTCCTGCTTTAAATGGTTTGGGTTCTCCCCAGTCGGGGAATTCCCTTGGTGATCCATGATGCTAAATGTATTTATGCTGCTGTCACTGTATCTGACGTCGCAGCGGCGTGTATCGTTCAAGCGGGCGGCACCTCAGCCTCGAGGCTGTACAGGGACGCTGAGGCGAACAGCAAAAAAGCGCACCCAGAACAACTCCCGGCGCTAATTGCGTTTATAGTATGTATGCAGTGTATAAGTTTGCCTCTTAATGTTTGTTGTTCCTCTCTGCCGTCGTACTGTCGTGTGTCGAGATGGTGGAAATGGTCGCATAGGCCGGGGGGGGGGGTAAATGCCCACAAAGTCAGATAACCCCGTAATTTCGCAGCACGGGAGACTCGAGCGTCGGGGCAGGCTTGTCGTGTAAGAATATATTATTGCCGGCCTCCTCACTGTTGCGCCCAAGGCGATACTATCTAGCACGATAGAGCCGAGATTACTGAGGTGGGAGTTGTGGGGGTCGCAAAGGTTCGATAACGGACAGCTGAAGTCGCAATCTCACACGGGCGGCGACGTGAAACCTAGATTTAACTAGCCACAGGGTCAGTTTGCCGGCTAAATCGATATAGAGTCGACGCTGTCCAGAGCCCTTTGAGGAGGATTTGGGATCTTGTATCGTGACGGTCGTGGCGGTCGTGGCGGTCGTTGGTGGTGGAAGGGCGCGCTTACCCCGATCCTGTATGGGGGAGCTGAAGCAACAACGCCGCCTTGGCGCGGCAGATAGTGCCGCTATTAATAGCACAGGGGCCTAGTAACAATATAGGCCCCGATATTAATTGGATATCCGATGGGTTGAGGTGGTAAGGTAGTGGTATTGCATATGGAAATAACAGGAAATGCTTCAAGCACGAACTGTTCGATTCGTAATAGTAGAACAGTAGAAAGTTCCTGCTTTCTGAAGGCACGTGGTGGGTACGGGTGCCCAGAACAACCATATATCCTATTATATTTATATATTCCAAGGATTTGGCGGGACCTCACATCATCACACCTCGCACCAAACAGCTCATTTTATAAAAGTACATCGGCATCCATTATTAAGGTACTATAAGGTAATCTACCCTCCGGCCTTCCATCAGCTTATCCATCTGTATGTCATCCCAAGCCGCAACATGTGCCCATTTCACTGGAGGGGCCACCTCTCTACCCCTATAAAAACAAACAAAAATCCCCTCAAAGAGATCATAGTTTCCGGCGCACTTCCCACCACACCACCCAAAGTATAAAACAAGAACGCCCACGCAATGCTCCCCTACCATTCTCTCCGCATACTTCAACCCCCCTCAAACCTAACTAGTAAACATAGCCATCTCCCCCACCTCCTCAACAAGCACCCCCTTCTTCTCCCTCTTCATCCTCCAAATACTCTTCTTCTTCTCCTTCTGCCTCTTCATCTCCTCCCACGCATCATCCTCGTCCTCCTCTCCCCCCTCCACCGGCCTCACCGTGACAGTCGGCCCCCTGCCGCCAACAGCAAGGACACTCATTCGCGGTGCCGCGACGCCGTTCGCGTTCTCCGCAGGCATGTGGCTGACGGGTCTGTAACGGCCCGGCATCCCGACATTACTCCTCTCGCTCGGGGCAATCGAAGCCGCATACGGAGCACCCCTCGGATCCAACATGGATATTGGGCGTTGCATACCGGCGACACTGCGCGGTCCGGCTGGGAACGCACCGCCGAAACCAAGACTGCTCCCTATGATACTCGTGCGGCCCATACCCATACCCCCTAGCTGCGGCGCACCTTGCGCCGGCATGCCCTGTGGGGGAATCATACCCTGCGGCATCATGCCGGGCACCATCTGCACTCCCGGAGGCGCTTGCATTGGTGGGGCGGCCCCAGCCATCATCTGGAAGAACTGGAATTGCATCTCCATGCTCTGCTGCAGTTGAGCTTGCATCGCCGCGATCTGGGCCTGCATTACCACGGGGTCCTGGGGCATTGCACCTGGGGTGCGGGCACCGCCCGAGTAGCCTAGGCCCATACCAGCTGGCATGGCTGGGTATTCGCCGGCGGGGTTGGTGCTTCCGCGTCTCATGGCGCGCGAACGTTCTTCCGATGCGATGACGCCTACTAGTCCGCCTGGCTGCGCGCGCGGGCCGCCGCCAGTACCGCCGTACTGCGAGCCGCTACCTAGAGCGAGCGACTCGCGGTTGGAAGAGTTAACGAGGCCAGCGCCGAAGTACGGATCCTGCGGGAGGCGACGAGCAAACGCAGGGAGGGCGCTGGCGCGCTCACCAGCGCCGCCGGTGACGGAGCGGGGAGGTGGGGGGTACGCGCCGCTCATCTGGCTGGCGGCGCGGAGGTTAGGGTTTGAGGCCATACCGCCGAGTTGGCCGGGGGCACGGCCGCGGTTAGGGAAGCCGTGGGCGACGAGGATGGCAAGGGGGATATCTTCGTCTTCTTCCTCGTCGGCACCGGGGCTGTCGGCGTAGAGTTGGAGGTTGGGTGTGCTTTGGGAGGTGACGGCGGAGAGGCGCGCGCCGGGGTTGGCTGTCTCGCCGGTGATTTTCATCATCTGTTGGCGGTAGACGGTCATGTGTGCCTCTTGCTTGCGGCGCTGCTTGGCCTGTTCCTTGCGGCGCTCCTCTTCGTCGTCATCTTCGTCTTCGTAGGTGTCGTCTGCGGCGTCGTCGTCATCGTCGGCTTTGGCGTCGGGGAACTTGCCCTGACTGTGTCGCTTCTGTCGCTCCTGCTCTTGGCGGTAGCGCTCAAACTGTGCAGTTGTCATGACTTTGTTCTTTGGTGCGGAGGACTGGGGTGTGATCGGCTTCTCGCCCCATTGAAGGGCGAGGTTCGCGGAGGCGGCGGTCTGTTGGTCGAAGAGGCCATCTTCTTGGGGCTCGGTGGCGGGGTAGCGAGCACGGGGAGTGGTGTTGTTGGAGCTCGGTGCTGTGGGCTTTGGGGTGTTGGCAACGTTATACGCATCTACTGCGGATGGGTTGATCCAGCTATCCCTCGCCCTGGGTGTCTCATCCACATTAAGCTGCCTCATCGCATTAATAGACTCCCTCATCAGCTTTGCGTCCTCATCCTCTCCATCTCCAATGGCCATCAGCGACTGCTTCCTCACAGCACTGCTCCTCCTTAATCCTACACCCGAACTGTTTGTGTTGTTACTGCCATTCGTGTCATGCTCCGGTACAGGCGGCGGCGTCGCTGACGGTGAGGGCCCAGGGCTCGTGCTAAACATGAGCCGCTGCTTCTCTGCCGACTTTTGTGCCCCCCATGGATATGACGATGTATCCCCTGTTAGGGACCGCTCGTTGCTGACATTCCCGAGCGGTTTCCTTGAAACGCCGGACTGCCTCGCGGTCGATGTAGATCCCTCCTGTGCAACGTTAGACATGCTCCAATTGACCGGTGTGCGAATGTGCACTTACCGCCGGGCTCACCGACTGAGTCCGCCTATTCTCAGCATCCAACACCGCGCTCTTGCGGTCCCCAGTTCCCATAAACATGGCTGCGAAGTCACCACCGAGACTAAGCCTGCTATCCAGCTTCAGTGAAGCGTTCGTGCTCGAGTAATCACTCCTCGTGCTGTCGGTCAGAGTGCTTGAGCGGGTTGCGTCATCCTTTGCCGGCGTGAGCGGTTTCGAGAGGTCCTCTTGGGTCGTGTTTGGCGGCGTCGAGCCCGGGGAGTGCTTCCGTCCGAAGGAGAAGGCCTTGCCCGTTGATATCAGGGAGAACTTCGATGTGCCCTTGAGCGTGGCGGGGAGGGGCGCGCTGTTGTTCTTCCCGTTGGCGGCGGTGGTGTCTTTCGGGTCGGAAGACGCGGATGAGACAGCACTACGCCTCGAGGAATTGTCAGCCGTTGAAACGGTGTTTGAATTAGAGGTCCCGCTGCCGCTTCACAGTTGTCAGCAGCTGACTGGCAGGAGGCGTTTGTGGGTAGGGTGAGGATTGGAAAGGAGAAGGGAAATAAAGATGATGGGCGGCTGTGCCACAGGAATTATTTACACCTCTGGAAAAAGGATGAGGCTACCCTAGCAGCCAATGCCAAGGTGGGCCTGTCCATGTATGCCCAAAAATAAAAATAAAAACAAAATAAAAATAAAAATAAAAATAAAAATAAAAATAAAAATAGCAAAACACATATAGGAGCCGCGGGGACTTGAACATACCGGTTGCTGAACCCTGAGAATATATTATCATCCCTCTCTGGATCGGTGCTGGGCCTGCCACTGATGATGTTGCCGCTGCCATCGTTTAGCCTCGGCTTGCCGCCATCGAGGTTGGTAGTGTTGGCGCGGTCGAAGACCCTGAATGTCTGCTGGTTCGGCGGGACGTCGGCGAGAGGCTCATCGAGGACATTGGCGGCCGACTTGCGCCGTGCGAAGGCCTTGGGGAGCTTCGGCATGGGGGTGGTGGGTAGTCGCGGTGGGAAGAGCGGCTAAGCTGCGCTGGGCATGAAGCGAGGCTGGCTGTACGGGATATGTGTGTATGTTTATGTGCTGGGTATGCAGTGTAGTGAGGCTATATGTAGATTTGAGTATCGCAGTAGATCGGGACGGCGGAGATGTTGTGTTTTGTACGACGGTTCTTTGATGGTGCTGTGCTGTGCTGTGCTGTGCTTGTGTGCAGCGCAGTATATCCAAAACCTAGACTCGAGGAGATCGGAAGCGTGAAGGTCGTATAGGATGGATATCAGGGCTCGCTAGAAACGACTGCTAGACGCTGAGATGCGTATAAAGTTCGGGAATGATTGTGTAGAAGGTCGAGAGAATCGTGTGTAGCGACAGTCCGAATAGGTGGCAGGGGAGTCTGTGTTGTTGCCTTTTCGGAGGGAGATGGAAGGAAAGAGATTGGTCGGATGCAGGAAGACTTGTAATATGGACAAGGAAGAAAGTAGCAAGGTAACGAGAGGATTAGGTCGTGAAGAAGCAGTTTAACGAAAGAGAGAGCAAGCAGAGCAGGCAAGAAGATTATCGCTGGGGGAAGAGGGGGGAAGAGGGGGGAAGGGAAAAGGACGTGGAGGGGTGAGGACGAGGTGGAGGACGAGGTGGAAGACGAGGTGGAGGTGGAGGTGAAGTTTCCGGTGTGTCGCTGGCGGTGGTCGGCGGTGATGGTTTTTTGGGGAGGAGGAGGAGGTGGAGGAGGTGGAGGAGGAGGTTGGTTGAAGGTTTTGGTGGTTGGGTCGTCGGTCAGATATTTTGCATGAGGTATGGTATGGTGGTAAGTACAGAAGTACATGGAACTGCAGTATAAATTGGCGGTTGACAGTAAGTCCCAATTGTGACAGTACAGTTACAGTTACAGTACAGTTACAGTACAGTTACAAACAGCACAGTTACAGTTACAATACAGTTACAGCAACAGCACAGTTCCAGTATGTAAAGGGGAAAACGGCTGCAGTTCTTCCCTTATTTCCCTTATTCCACCACCTTATTCCAGGCTGTCTAAGATCCGATCTGAGATGTTTACAGTGAGAAGAGAAAGTCCCCTGAATTACTAACAAATGAACCATGAACTAGCCTCGCAAATAGGAGGGGGCCGATCGTCATGTCTTCCATATCTTCCCCGTCACCATCTCAGACGGGTCTGAGATGGTGACTGAGACCGTCTTTAGCACCTAAACCGTCGGTGCAGCTGTTCACTGTCAGGGAGCTGGAGAGAGCTGGAGAGAGCTGGAGAGAGCTGTCACCCGCTGTCAACCAGACTTGACGAGTTGCTGGGTGTGAGCTTACGACTCATGGCTTGTGGGTGTATATGAGTATATATATGCGTATATATGCTCTCTCATATATACTCTCATATATATACTCTCTCATATATATACTCCCCATCCCCATCCCCATCCCCATCCCCCTCCCCCTCCCCTCCCCCCCCTTCCCCCCCTGAAAAGCTGAACATCCCCACCCCTCCCAGCACCCCATAGCCCGTCCATCCCCCCCCATAGCCCGTCCATCCCCATCCCCCCCATAGCCCCCCAATAGCCCCAAACCCACACGCCACTCTCCCCCCCATGTAGCCCCCTCTCGCCGAACGAACCACACCCACCCACACCAGCGCCCACGTTCTCGTCCACCACGACGCTCGATGCTAGCCGACCCCTGACGTACCTACGCCGTAGCGTAGCGCTGTCGAACCGGAAGTCCGGCGCGGATAAGTCCATCCATCGTAGGCGCTAAACCAGCCCGGAGCCTGGAGAGGACGCGCTTTGTTTGGTAACGGCGGCTCCTCCGGCCGTTCGTGAGGTCCATCCCAGCGCCAGATAGCCCACACCGCCGCCGCCGCCGCCGCTTCACATGCCACCGATCGCCGCCGCTTGCCCACCACTCCACCCTTCGACACTGTACATACTGTACATCCGTGGGCCCATCAACGTCAGCACCCCAACCATCGCAATCTCCGCCCAAGACAGGATACCTTTGTTTCTTCCTGCCCTCGCCGCGTGCGTGCCTGCATGCAGGTTTCGTTCCCGCGCGGAGCTTTTTGCCTGTTCTGTTCTGTGAGGTGAGGTGGGGTTCGCTTGGGGATGGATGGGGGTTGGTTGGTTCTGTGCCGCATCCGGCGATGCCGGCGCGGGCGGCGATATTTGGGAGCGGGGAGCGTCTGGATGGGGGATCTGGAATTGGAATTGCAATTGGACTTGGTATTGGAACTCAAATTTCCTAAAGCTCCCCCTCCAATAATTCCTCCAATTCCATGCTATGCGATGTCATGTGTGGAGTTGTGGTGATGGCCGACTTTGGAATGGGATGAGGTACGTACCGATTTTGGGGCACGGTGCGAGGTTAGGGTACAACAGCCAAAATACCACTACACCTTTGATTACCTCTTATGACCAGTTTCAAGAGGAACTTACCAGGACCTTTGGAGACATCAACGAAACTGCTACAGCAGAAAGAGAGCTACAGAAACTATGTCAAAAGACCTCTGCTGCTCAGTATACAACAGAATTTAGGAGAATCACTTCTCACTTGACTTGGAATGAAGAAGCCTTGGTCTTCACTTACTACCAAGGACTCAAGAGCTCTATTAAGGATGAACTCAGCAAAGAAGAACGCCCTACAACACTTCAAACGCTTATAGAGAAAGCTGTCAGACTTGATGATAGGCTTTTTGAAAGAAGAAAGGAGAAGAACCAAGACTGGCATCTAACAAGAAATTTCAACAATCACACCTCTACACCAACTGCTAAGGACTCAGCACCTGAACCTATGGACTTAGACGCCTCTATAAAGATATCCAAATCCAGCACCTCAGCCTACAGGAAACCCTCAAAAACTGAAAAGGGGTAAACTTACTCCTCAAGTAAGAAAACACAGAATGGACAACAACCTTTGTTTATACTTGTAATGGTGGGTGCACCAGATGTGAGAATCTAGCCACCCAAGGAAGGGATGAATTTACTAAGACAACACACTGTCTTAGCAAACAGAGCCAAAGGGTCGTAGCTTAGACTATTCCACAATGCAGCAATCAGGTGTATGATGTAGTGGAGTGGTTTAGACAAGTTGTAACAAATGTTGAGTCTGAGAACTCAGGGATAAGTCAGAGGTTAGCACCTCACTGACTTTTCAGAAACAAGGAGTAACAAGATGAATGCTTGGAAGCTTGTAAAAGACGTGGAAGTATGTGATAGTCGATTTACTGTATTGCCTGCTTGCCCTTTCTTAAGGAAAGGGCAATCCTATTTATGCCAAAGGAGTGTAGTTCTCTCATTTTCCAAGACTTTCCATGACTAACCAGGCTTGGTAACTGTAGTCGACGTAAGAGAATCCCATAGAACTATCTCCTAGGTTCCTAGCCTATACGAAGTAAAAGGAGGTCCAAGGTCAGAGTACCCCTATAGACAAATTATGTCATAACTTAACCAATCTTGTGGGTAACTAAGGAGCGATGACATGTAATGAATCATAGAGGTTCGTAGGAGCTTTTAGAGCTATCGTTCATGCTCCTAGGCCTCTAGTTGGTAGAGATATGTCATGTGGTAGTATGAGTGATGTCATGTAATGAATCATAGAGGGTTGTAGAGATATGCTATGTGGTAATATCTGTCATACTGACATTCGTTGCACTCAGTTTGCTATCAAACTCAAGAGCAAACTTAGAAATCTCCTCCTCAAACCTACAAGTCACCATACATATCTTGGCTTATCACACCAACAACAGAAGCAATACTACTCAACGATTGCTGCAAACTCTTCTACTACATCTGTTTATGCTACATACATCACGGCATATCATTTGGACACTCATTGAACAAGTTATTAAGAAAATCTCCTCCTTAAGGGGGTGGGCCAATACTACCACATGGCATATCTCTACCAACTAGAGGCCTAGGAACATGAACGATGGCTCTAGAAGCTTCTACAACCCTCTATGATTCATTACACGTCATCGCTCCTTAGTTACCCACAATATTGGTTAAGTTATGACATAATTTGTCTATAGGTACTCTGACCTTGGACCTCCTTTTCACTTCCTATAGGCTAGGAACCCAAGAGATGGTTCTATGGGATTCTCTTACGTTCACTACATGATTAGCAAGCTAGTTGTGGGTCGCACTTGATTTCTAATACATTTACCAAGCCTGGTTAGTCATGGAAAGTCATGGAAAATGAGAGAAGTACACTCCTTTGGCATAAATAGGATTGCCCTTTCCTTAAGAAAGGGCAAGCAGGCAATACAGTAAATCGACTATCACATACTTCCACGTCTTTTACAAGCTTCCAAGCATTCATCTTGTTACTCCTTGTTTCTGAAAAGTCAGTGAGGTGCTAACCTCTGACTTATCCCTGAGTTCTCAGACTCAACATTTGTTACAACTTGTCTAAACCACTCCACTACATCATACACCTGATTGCTGCATTGTGGAATAGTCTAAGCTACAACCCTTTGGCTCTGTTTTCTAAGACAGTGTGTTGTCTTAGTAAATTCATCCCTTCCTTGGGTGGCTAGATTCTCACATCTGGTGCACCCACCATTACAATCTGGTGCACCCACCATTACAATATCGGCCCAGTAACTAAGGAGCGATGACGTGTAATGAATCATAGATGGTTGTAGCAATCGTTGAGTAGTATTGCTATTGTTGTTGGTGTGATAAGCCAAAATATGTATAGTGACTTGTAGGTTTGAGGAGGAGATTTCCAAGTTTGCTCTTGAGTTTGATAGCAAACTGAGTGCAACGAATGTCAGTATGACAGATATGTCATGTGTAGTATTAGCCCAGTAACTAAGGAGCAATGACATGTAATGAATCATAGAGGGTTGTAGAGATATGCTATGTGGTCATATCGGCCCAGTAACTAAGGAGCAATGACATGTAATGAATCATAGAGGGTTGTAGCAATCGTTAAGTAGTATTGCTCTTGTTGTTGGTGTGACAATCATAGTGACTTGTAGGTTTGAGGAGGAGATTTCTAAGTTTGCTCTTGAGTTTGATAGCAAACTGAGTGCAACGAATGTCAGTATGACACTATGGACGATATATCATCTCTGATATGGGTTAAACCTTTCCAACCTGTCCTGGAGATAGCAGCTACTTCAGATTTGGAGAAATCATCTCAGGAGGTCATTTTGCCTTTAGCATACCAAGACTACAAAACACCTTTTTGACAAGGCAAAGGCATCAATTTTGCCAAAGCACCAGCCTTATGACCATGAGATACCACTTGCAGAAGGCTCAAGGCCTCCCTATGGCCCTATCTACTCTCTATCTGAATTAGAGCTGAAAACTCTCGGAGAATATGTAAGGACACAGGGCACCCAGCTCACAGTAATAGCATATGAGAGTGCAAGTCGGAGGCTAAACGGATGCTATCCTATAGGTCTACTACGAAGGATACAAAAAAGATGAAGAGAGGAACCCCCGTTGGGTCAATCTCCTCAAGTACCCGAAACGGGTCCGACTCGGCTAACCTGCCTTTACTCTTATCATGTGATCGTAACCTGCCCAACTCAGATCCTTTCCGTCACTGAGGGACAGGCATCCTTACAGAATACCTAGATGAGAACCTTAGTTCTGGCTTTATCAGACCTTCTTCCTCACCAGCAGGAGCGCCCATTCTCTTTGTCAAGAAGAAAGATGGCTCCTTGCGTCTCGTGTTTATTATAGGGGCCTTAATGCAGTCACTGTTAAAAACAGATATGCTTTACCCCTTATCCCTGAGCTCATAGATAGGCTCTCTTCAGCAAGGTTCTTTACTAAGTTAGATCTCAGGGGAGCTTATAACCTGATATGCATCAAGGAAGGTAATGAGTGGAATCATTCAGAACACGCTATGGTCATTTTGAATACCAGGTAATGCCTTTTGGGCTTGCCAATGCACCTGCTTCTTTCTGTAAGGATGCCTCCACCCTCAGTGACGGAAGGGATCAGAGTCGGGCAGGTTACGGTCACGTGGGGAGAGTAAGGGCAGGTTAGCCGAGTCGGACCTGTTTCGGGTACTTGAGGAAATTGACCCAAGGGGGTTCCTCATCATCTTTTTTGTATCCTTCATAGTAGACCTATAGGATTTTAGCCTCCGACTCGCACTCTCATATGCTATTACTGTGAGCTGGGTGCCCTGTGTCCTTACACTTTCCAAGCTCTCATGAATGATATTCTAAGACCTTACTTGGATATCTTTGTTGTTGTCTACTTAGACGACATTCTTATATACTCTTTAGACACTCAAGAGCATGTTCTACATGTTAGACAAGACTTAGGGAAGCTATCTCAAGCAGACAATACAGTAAATCGACTAGCACATACTTCTATGTCTTTTCCAAGCTTCCAAGCATTGATCTTGTTATTCTTTGTTTCTGAAAAGTCAGTGAGGTGCTAACCTCTGACTTACCCCTGAGTTCTCAGACTCAACATTTGTTACAACTTGTCTGAACCACTTCACTACATTGTACACCTGATTGCTGCATTGTGGAATAGTCTAAGCTACAACCCTTTGGCTCTGTTTCCTAAGACAGTGTGTTGTCTTAGTAAAATCATCCCTTCCTTGGGTGGCTAGCTCCGTACATGTAAGCTTTCTGCCCCCTTTCTTTTTCACGCTTCATCCACCCTCTATTGTCCAGTTGAACGCCAGTTAATTCGGAAATACACTCTAGCTATGGTATATAAATATTGAGTCCCATATGATTATATGGTAACTTATGTACCTCCCTTCAGCTCATCAACTCCTCGAGTAATCCTCAAGCAATCATCCTCCCAATACTCGCTCCATGTCTCCTCCATCCATTTCCCCAAGAAATGTTCATCCTCAATCCCACCTCTCCCTCCAGAACAACCCCTTAATCACCAATCCTCATCTCCTCCGCCCTCCCCTGGGCAAAATCATCCTTCCACGTCTCCCACAACCTCACCAACTCCTCACAGTACCTCTCGTGCAACTCCTCCACCTCCTCCACACTCGGCATCCTATTCTGCCTCACCGGAATCGGCCTCCCCACCACCACATTCACCGCGCGCCTATACGACACCAGTCCAACATCATAATTAAACACCCCCCTCGCATGAAACAGCGGCAGCGTCCAACCCAGCGTGCGCTTGAGCAAATCCTGCCCCCGCCGGATCCACGGGCGGCCTTCCACGCTGAATTGGTCGTAGAGTTCGTTCTCTCCGAACCCGAGGACGGGGACCAGATCAGCCCCCGTGCGGAGAGCCATCTTGACGAAGCCGTACCGCCGGCGCAGTACGAGCCTCAACGTACCTGGACGCGCGTCGAGGGACTCCCGGGCGCCGCCAACGACGATTGTAATCGCCCTCCCCATCCCCTCCCCATTCAACCCCCCCCTACTAAGTAAATTCTCGCAGCTCTGTCTGCTCACGCTCGCGAGCCCCAGGGCGAGTATGTACTCCCTATAAAACGGTATGCGGAAGTTACTATCCAGCGTGAGCAGGGAATTCGTAATCCCCGGAAACAGCTGCGCAAACCCCAACGCCTCCGTCGCGAACGCCGCGAACGCGCCATGGCTAATGATCCCATGCGGATGATACCCAAAGATATACTTCCTCGTCGGGCTAAGCTCCACCGTGCGATGCAGCCGCGCAGGAAAGTACCCCGCAAAAAGGGACCACAACTTGCTCCCCCTCAACCTCGGCGACCGCATGCTCAGCTCCCCGCTATAGCCGGCTTTGGAAAACATGATATACACCATGTATGGCACGATCAAGGGCCACAGCAGGGGAATCGCGCAGGCGAAGAGGAATGTCCCGATTAGCACCGCGATGCAGAGGGTGTGTGCGAGCACCATTGCAGTCTGTAGACGTCTCTGCAGCGGAATATTGAGAGGCGCGAACCGGATGCGCGAGGCGTGCCAGTTTTTCCCCGCTTCGCGGCCGGAGGTAAGGGTGCGGCTGCCAGTACGGTTTGGGTCGCCATCCTGGGGCCCCGGGGATGAAGCGCGGGAGGGGGTCTTGATAGAAACAAGATGCTCAGTAGAGTGGGACGGGGAGGGTGTGGGCGGATAATTGGTGAAGATATCCGAGTCTTCGAATTCCGTGTCTGAGTAGAGCTCGGCGCTGTGGATGGAGGTGTGGTGGGAAAGGGGGGGGGCGCGGGTGGAGGGTTTGGAGCGGCGCTGGCGAGTGATGGGTTTGGGGGGTTGGAGGAGCTGGAGGGGGGGGTTAGTTTGGGGGTTGTGAGGGGAGGGTGTTGGGGGAGGACTTACAGCTGCGGCGTAGCTCTTGCCTCCGTCGTCGTTTGTGTGGTTGTTTGCTTGCTCTCTCCGTGCTTTCTTGTCGCCATTCCTCTGTTCCTTTTTATCCCCATTCGTCTCCCTATTCCCCTCTCCACCAACCCTCTCCCCCTCATCCGCCCCCTCCTTAGCCCCCTCAACCACAACCTCCGCAAAACTATTCGGCAGCACCGTCTCCCCCTCTTTCACCCCATTCAACTCCTCCTCCCCCTCCACCACAGCATCAGCGAAGCTCTTGGGCGGAAGGTCTAACTCCTCCCTCACCTCCTGCCTCACCGTCTCCAGCTCCGCAACAGTAGGTATCCCATTCTCCATCGCCATCGTCGTCATCGGCTTTGTGCGTTTGTCGAGTCTCTCTCGTCCTTTCGGTGGTGGTCTCGTGCGCTGCGGCGGTGTAGTGGTAGGAGAGGTAGTGGTGTATTCGGTAGGACCTTTCGGTTCGTACGGCGCACCGCCCAGTTCCGCCGTCAGGCCGACGAAGTAATCCGTCCAGTCCAGATTGTCCTTTTCTCGTCCCCGAGCTGGTTTCCTGTTCCTCCTATGAGTTGCGAGCTATCCTTGGCGATCTTCCTTTCCTATCCTGTCTTCCTATCCTATCCTGTCTTCCTATCTTATCCTGTCTTCCTATCCTATCCTGTCTTCCTATCCTTGAATCCGGTCGTCCAGTCGTCCAGTCGTCCAGTCGTCCAGTCGTCTATCCAGTCCAGCTCAAAAACCGCAGTTATCGTATCCGTGTCTCAGCAAAAAACCCCATCAACGATTCGATAACCCTACAACAAAGCTGACCTTGTTCCTACTGCGCTACGTCGTCGATCCTGCCAAGGAAAGTCCAGTGCAACTGGGCTCGGTGGTGGGAGCTGGGAGCTCGGCTGTGCAGTCCGCACGAGCTATGACGTGTGCCCTTCGCCGGCGCAGGGCGGAGCGTAGATTCCGTTAAGTTACGGATGAGGATGAAGCGGATAAGGGAAGGATGGATGCGGCGGACAATGGTATTGATATGAGATGGGTACTGCGTGCGGGGTTAGGAAGATGAATGTACTGTGCAGCAGGTACCACCACCGTTCACAGCATAGCCAATGAAACATTTCAAACAATATCTTTTCATTCCTACGACTCACTCCCCCCTTCCCTTTCCCCAAAATATTTCCAACCCCCCCCAGGCCAATCCGCTCGCTCCTATCATTAACAAATAACAAATAAAAGTAAAATCTATAAGAACACCCCCCCTTTTCCGCACCCTTTCCCCAACCAGAGCAGAAAATCAATAAGCTGATCCGTTCTAAAAATTGTTAAAATTTGTCATCATCAAAAACCACAACCACACGCGCGGGAAGAGCTGTTCCCCAGACCGCATCTCCTTGTCTTGCCCCGTTCCTGTCGTGGCCAGTTCCCGTGCCGGCCAGTTCGTGCACTCCAATTTAAAACATAACATATAATCCCCATCCCCATCCCCATCCTTTGATCTTAACCCCCCCCCAGAAAACGCCACAATCCCCATCATAGATTCCTTCACCTCTCTTTCGCCCCTTTCACCCCCTTCCCTTCACCATAGTAATGCCACCACACGCAATCACCCCGTCCTATTCAACCCCGGCCTTCCCCCCCTCAACCCCTCCACCTCCTCCACCAACTTCCTAATCCGTTCCTCCTGCCGCCTCTCCACCCCCTCCATCCCCACCACCCTCTCCGTCAACCTATCAACCTTCTCCTCCAAACTCTGAATATACGTCCACACCCCCCGTTCAGAGGAGAAGAGGTTGTTACTAGCGTCCGGCCCTCCTTGTTGCTGTTGCTGTAGAGCCCCCCGGAATGCGGTGGAGGAAGAGGTAGAGGTAGAAGTGCCATTCGCGCCAGCTTGGCTAGGAACCATAAACCGTGCCTCGGGCGGGGCTAGACCGCTCAGCGCGGGTAATTTCGGTCCCTGTCCCCCCGTCGATCCCATCCTATCCCCCCCGCCCTGCTGCTGTCTGCGTCCAAAATCCCGTTGTTGGACCTGTGTAGCTAGACTAGGTGAGCGTTGGCGGTTTAACGATGATGAGGCGGTGGAGGCCGGGTCGTGGCCGAGTTGGAGAGAGGACATGGCGCCTGGGCTGATTGGTTTGGGTGATTCTGTCATGGGTGTTTGTGCGAAGAGCATGGGATTGTTGTTTCCCCCGTTATTATTGTTGCCCCCCGCGACGCTGCCCGTGCTAGGCGCGGTAGACATGGTTGTATGTGAACCCAACCCCCCCACCAAACTCATCACCCCCGAACCGGCCCTACTCCCACTCCCATGTTCCCCCTGCGCGAGGTGATGAAAAGGCGTAGGCCCCGACTGTCCCCTCCCCGGTCCAGAAGGCGCATACGTATTCGGCGTGCTTCGCATGAGGGGCGCATACGGATCCTGCCCCCCGCCACCGCCGCCATGAACATGCTGCGCCTTGATACTCGGTAAACTATACCGTCTCTCCTCCTCCTCCGCATCCCCCTCCACGGGCTCCGCGTAGAGAACCCCCTCCATCCCCCCATCCTCCCCGAGGTGCGGGTCGTCATACTCCTCATCCCCGCCAAAACTGCCCATACTCGCTCGCCTGCCCGCACACCCCCCCTGCCCCTTCGCGTGCCGCGCCAGCGCGTCGCCCCGCGCGAACTTGCGATCGCACTTGGGGCAGATATGGGGTCGTTCGCCGGTATGCAGTTTAGAGTGGCGCTTGAGGTCGTGCAGCCGGCGAAAGCGCATCTGGCACGTGTTGCAGACGTAGGGCTTCTCCTGGCTGTGCGTGAGGAGGTGAGATTTGAGGTTGTGGTGGCGCGTGAATTCCGTGTCGCAGTAGGGGCATTTGTGTTTCTTGTGTGAGGGCGAGCGGGGGGCGAGGTGCTGGTTTAGACCGGACATGGGGAGGGAGAGGCCGCGCATTGGGTCGCGCAAGCCTTCGGGGCGAACGAGGGCGTTGCCGGGGAATGTGAATGCGCGGGCTGACGGGTTATCGCTCTGCGGCTCGCCGCCACCGTTCGTTCCGTTATCTCGATGCTCCCCCCCTTCTCCCGGATTATTCATCATATTCGACGGACTCGTAATGCCCGTCGTGCTTGCCGTGGCCGTCTGCGCCGTGCTCGCCATGCTCCCGAGGCTCGTCACGCTCGCGGGGCTGTTCTGCGATTTATCCTCAAAGTGCAGCGGGCTCGGGATCGAGATCGCGGTCGCCGCCACCTCCATCCCTTCGCTCACCGTCGTCGTCGCCGCCGGTGCGTCCTGTCGCCCGCCTGACCCCGAGATGAGCGCTGATATGACTTTATGGCCTGGGTTCTTGCCTGGCGCCTTCCCCGACGCTACCGCCTTCGCCTGCTCCGATCGTCGGAGGCGCTCGCGCTCGTCGTCTATGGCCGCCCCACCAGGCGAGGCTCGCGGCGACACACTCGTGCCGAAACGAGGCGATTTAGCTAGTGGCGAGGCGGTGAGGCCCGCGTCAGCGATGGCAGCTACGGTGGCGGGATTGGGCGACGAGTCGATGCGGCTGCGCTTCAATGGGCGCGTTGTGGATTGGTCGGGGGTGGGGGGTGTGCTGGGCGCGAGCAGCGGCGGCGCGGAGTCGGGGATGCTGTTCCTCATGAGCGCTGTAGGGACTGTGGGAGCGGATCCTTGGTCGGAGGACTCCATGAGGGCCAATGCCGTGGATGGGTGTGATTGGATGGGTATAGGTCGCGCTTGAGGGGCATCCGAACTAGATAGATGGCTCAACGCTTCATTGTCTGGCTCCCTCGTGGAGAGCTCGAGGTTGCCAATTGCGAGACGAGGCAGGCGCGGCGTGGGTAGGTGGTGGTACAAGCGGGCGCAAAGGTGCGGATGTCGCTTCTAGTTCCGGCCGGTGGAGTCGCTGGTGAGGGTTTGTTTGGGGAATGTGGGTGTCGGTTTTGTTTTGTTTGGGGTCGTGATGGGGGGAGGGAGTGTGTGTTCGTTGCAAGCCTGCTTGGTGGACGGGGTCAGCTACGGTCAGGTTAACCAGGCAAGGCAAGGCGAGGCGAGGCAAGGCAAGGCAAGGCAAGGCAAGGCCAGGTGAAAAGGCGCTGGGGGGTGTTTGTGGTGTATTGGCGTATGGGTGTCTGGGTGTATGTATGGCTGGTGTATATCTCTTGTGTCTCTAAGTAGTAATTGTGTAATTGTACAGAGTATCGTACAATTGTCGAGATTGAGGAAGAGTTGAAGATGAGAGTACGGAGTAGTGAGGGCTGTTTCCCATTCGTCGCTGCGCCACACATCGGCACTAGCGCGTTTTCGAGAGAAGAAGGGTGATATGGCTGACTAGTCTTACTAGAAGTACCATCACATACAGTCTACAGTGCAGAGGTACTTACGCAACAACTAGGAGTATAGTATCTACAGTCAGCTCTGGCTTCACTAAACGTCTAGAGTGACGAGGCGAAGATAATAGCTAGAATGGTACCACATGGACATTCTAGTGCTCTAGTTGCTCTAGTTGCTCTACTACTAGCCACACTCGCATCAGCCTCATCAGCCTCACTCCCATCAGTATCACAGCCACCCTCGCATCAGCCTCACTCCCATCAGTCTCACAGCCACCCTCGCATCAGCCTCACTCCCCAGACTGTGCTGACGTTCTCAGAGTGCTCAGCCACGTTGCTGGGGAGCTGAGGTGGACGTGGACGTGTAGGAAGGACGGCGGACTCGTGTCGCCCTTGCTATCTTCAGTCAGGGACGACGGCCTCTCTGATACCATGCAGAGCAAGATCAGTCTTGAAAGACATCACATCTCCTTGCTGCCAAACAGAGCATACCAGGACATATATCCCCCCCCCCCCAAGCCCACCACCTTCCACCACCTCCCCAAATAATCGTACACCACCATCCTCAAATAACCCTAACCCCCCTCCCCACACTCCCCGTCTCAAAAACCTCCACCATCCCCGCCCCCACACACTCCCTCACCACCCACCCAAACTCCACCCCCCAAAACACCCTCCACCACCTCGTCCTCCCCCTCCCCCCCCCTCCACCCCGCCCTCCCACCGCTCCCTCAACCCTTCCTCCGTCATCTCTCTGAACCGAGTTTTCTGCAGTACTCCGACTAACTGTGTTCGCGCTGAAGTGAGGAGTTTGAGATAAGCACCCACATTCGGGACAGAGACGCTGTAATCACCCATCCCACCCCCTGCGGCGCCGGCGCGGCCTCCGCTCCCGCCAGCGGCGTGTACAACCCCCTCGCTGCCGACTTTCCCTACGCCCCCGCGCGCAGCGGAGGCGATACTAGTTAAACTCGCCAACGTCCCCCGTGCCCCTTGTCCAGGGGCGGAGAAGACATCAGCAGCTGTCCATGTCGGAGTCGCGGCTGTGATGAAACCAGCTTGCATGAGCTGCCTCGCCGCGTCTTGCGACAAGCTCGAGCGTGGGAGTTTGAGCGCCGTAGGTTGCTCTCGCAGTAACTTAATGTAAGCTACTTTAACGCCCTCGTCGAGGAGAGTGGAGGAGTTCACCAGCCCCTCCAGATCGCGCGTTAGGATCAGCAATTCCCCCGCGCCCCCACGGCCGGGGATGAGGAGTTTCCGAATCGTTCCCTTTCCAGTCAACTCCGCGATCTCACGCGCCACGGCGGTAGGGGCATGGAGAAGCGCTTGGACGTGCGATACTGTGGCGACGGGGGGGAGTGCACGGCGGTAGTTCAGGATCTCGGCGGTGCGGGTGGAGCTGAGGCCGGAGCGCGTGGGGGGGATGGGTGTGAACGTGTGGGTGGTGATATGGAGGATTGCTTGGGGGACGTCGCGGAGGGCGAGGTCGGTGAGGAGGGTGTGGATTAGACCTGCGTCGGGGAGGCGGGTTGTTGGGTTGGAGGAGTAGGGGGTGTCATCGTCGGAGTCCTGGGATTGGGATTGGAGTTTGGATGCGCCGCATGCGATGGGTTTGCGGCGGGGGAGGGAGGAGAAGGCGGAGGCGGAGGAGGGGCGGCGGGCGCTGGCGGGGTTGGATTTCTTGATGCGGCTGGAGTGCGCGGCGGTGGTTTGGAAGGACATTTTGCGGTGCTGGTGCTGGTGGTTCACGGGGGATAAAGGCATGTAATGTGAAGCAACACAGCTGCGGGTATCATGGGTGAGAATGAAAGAAATGTAATCGACAGCAGAGAAGAAGGTTTAAACGGAGGCAATGAGTCGTGGTTTGTGGAGATTCTTCAAGACAGCCGTGCACAGCCACTCAGGTGCCTGTATGCGCCAGAAGTGGCGGGGATGTTCGGCGGGTGGGTAAACTTTAATCCAGCCTCATACCTGCCATTTCATACCGAGCCAATTATGTGGGGTGAATATTTGACTCAAAAGGCAGCGTCACGACCACTGTCACGTACGGACTCCAATCTGTTGGGGGTGTTCCGGCGGGTTTGTACGCCTAAAACCAGAGGCTGTGGCCGAAACAGCCCGACTAACCTCTGCAAGTGACGACAGAAAGGGGAGGACACCGCAGAGGGATACCCGCACCTGCTACACTACGGCAAACCCACCCCGTCCCCTCACCGTCCCCCCTTCCTCGGGCTCCGCTGCGGCGTCTGCGGTGGCATCAACGCCGCGAACATGGGGCCTCCATTCCCATCCCCATACCCTCCGGACGCATGTCTCGGCGTCGGCGGCGCAATAGCACCCCACCCACTAGACCATCAACAGGGCCTCTCGCCACCCCTAGGGGTGGAAGGGGTTTATCACCTACGCCGCCCGAAATAGCAAACGTTGTTAGCATTAGAGGGTTTCAGCCAGAATTGCATGGCATGATTGCATGCCGTAAGCAGTACGATCTGCGACACCCCCTGTAAAACCCTTGTAAAACCCCCATACTAGCTGCCGCCACCTCACTGGCGCCAAACCCAATGCATACATGAGCATGCCCACATTTAGTTTAGACTGTAGAAGTAGAGCCCTTGGCAAAGGCTCTACTCTGACAACGTAGGATATTGAGTATATTATCTATATACTCAATATGACTACAAATACTATAAACTGGGGCCAAATAACAGGCCCCAACAACTTCCTCCCACCCTCTCCTACCACTATTTGTGACCCTTTTGACGATATCGACGACGTCAATATCGTCAATAGCCCTCCCCCTCTACCCACCACTGCTGCTGCCAATCCTCCTCTGCGGGCTGCCCGCCCAAGCCGCTGCCAGCCTGCCGAAACTCTCCACGCTCGTCTCGATACTACGATGAGAATTTTGCTTCTGCGCCTCTGTATAAGAGATGCAGAGCTCTACTCCCGGGCCTCCCGGAAGACCTTCTGGAAGAAGGTCCAGAAAGACCTTTGCGAAGAGACTGGCCAAGATCATACGACCTTAGCCCGTCTTGTCGCAAATCTTGTCAAGCGACGACGAGAATGTAAGGATGCCTCCGTACCTAGATACTCAAAGAACCTGTCTCAGAACTGTTACGGTCACTACAAGCATGGAATCCGACTCGGTGGGGTTTCGAACCAGTAGAGGAACACATAGCGAGTTACACTATAGTGGGGGACGGTAAGGGTGTAGGGTTCAGGGTCAATGCAGACCTGTTGCGGTGGAAGGTTCAGGGCTAGGGTTGGGATAACCGAGTCGGATGGGTTTCGGGTACTTGAGACAATCGACTCACGGGGTTCCCCCTTTATCTTTTTTGTATCCTTCGTAGTAGACCTATAGGATAGCATCCGTTTAGCCTCCGACTCACACTCTCATATGCTATTACTGTGAGCTGGGTGCCCTGTGTCTTTACACCTATGCTACAGTCCGTATGAAGTTAGGAACTGGCCTAACTGTCATACTGACATTCGTTGCACTCAGTTTGCTATCAAACTCAAGAGCAAACTTGGAAATCTCCTCCTCAAACCTACAAGTCACTATACATATTTTGGCTTATCACACCAACAACAAGAGCAATACTACTCAACGATTGCTACAACCATCTATGATTCATTACACGTCATCGCTCCTTAGTTACTGGGCCGATATTACCACATAGCATATCTCTACAACCCTCTATGATTCATTACATGTCATCGCTCTTTAGTTACCCACAAGATTGGTTAAGTTATGACATAATTTGTCTATGACATAATTTGTCTATAGGGGTACTCTGACCTTGGACCTCCTTTTACTTCCTATAGGCTACGAACCTAAGAGATGGTTCTATGGGATTCTCTTACGTCGACTACAGTTACCAAGCCTGGTAAGTCATGGAAAGTCTTGGAAAATGAGAGAACTACACTCCTTTAGCATAAATAGGATTGCCCTTTCCTTAAGAAAGGGCAAGCAGACAATACAGTAAATCGACTATCACATACTTCCACGTCTTTTCCACGCTTCCAAGCATTCATCTTGTTACTCCTTGTTTCTGAAAAGTCAGTGAGGTGTTAACCTCTGACTTACCCCTGAGTTCCCAGACTCAACATTTGTTGCAACTTGTCTGAACCACTTCACTACATCACACACCTGATTGCTGCGTTGTGGAATAGTCTAAGCTACGACCCTTTGGCTCTGTTTTCTAAGACAGTGTGTTGTCTTAGTAAATTCATCCCTTCCTTGGGTGGCTAGATTCTCACATCTGGTGCACCCACCATTACACCAACGGGTGGTACGAGGATAGGGGGGTCATCTAATGCTAGATTAATTGTTGCATGAATTGTAGGAGTGGCATCATATGACTAGCGCAGGATTGGCATAGCCGGAGCCCTGAGCAACCCCACGAAAATAGTTCTTAGATTACCTCAACTGTAGACTCTTAGAACTTCAATCAATCAACAACTTGTCTACCAATCAACACTTCCAAACCTCCAGTGACTATGTGTTACATTAATATAACCCCACACTCCTGTCTTCATTAAAGCTGTCTTAAATCGTCTCTAGCCACTCGTCCTAGTCTTTTGGGTTAGTGAGGACCACCCCCACCTTCTGTAGGTTGCCATTATGATGGTAATCGACTCCTAGGAGGGGTTTGAGGTCCGTACAATGTTCGAAGACGTTCAAAAATGCGTATTAGAGCTGTTCTAGGCTCATAACTGTTAAGTAACGTGTGTATTGTCCTGTCCAAGTATCTAGCTGCCTGACATTTTAGTGAGGTCATACTGAGGTCATGTGACCATTTTACAACACAAGGCCGAGGGCCTATCCACAACGCGACTTCCCACTGCCCTGTCCAGCCAAGGCTCTCTTACAGGCAGCCACTTCTGCCTAATAACTCACATAAAGAGAAACCAATTGATTGTTTTCGTATAAATCCGAGCCAAAAATCGAGAGAATTTAGAGGATAAATCACAATGCCGCCAACTGTCATTTTAATCCGCCATGCACAGGCTGAGCATAGCACGTATCACCCATCACCCCCCCGCCAGAAATGGAAACAATATATTAACCACCCGTCAGATGCTACCAATAAGTCACCCCAACACTACAAACACCCTATTCCTATCTATTCCTCTCCTAACCTAACACCCCCCACAGGACTACTCCATCCCCGACCCCGCCCTCACCATCCTCGGCGCCAGTCTGCAATGTGACACTCTCCGCACTGCCCTCAAGCAGCTCCCCCTAGAAATTGACCTCATCGTCTCCAGCCCCATGCGGCGCACCCTCCAAACCACCACCAACGCCCTAGGCTGGCGCATGGCGGAAGGCTGCCCCGCAATCGCCCTCGCGGGGTTCCAAGAGAACTCCGCGAAGCCGTGCGACACTTGTTCTGACTCCACGGCCATGGTGGCAGAGTGGCCGGCGTTCGATTGGAGCGAGGTTGATCCTGTTTTCCCGGCCAAGACGGGGCTGTATGAGTTTTTGAAGGAGGCGTTGACGCGGAGAGGGGTGGAGGCGAGGAGGTGGTTGAGGGGGCGGAAGGAGAAGGTTGTTGCAGTTGTATCGCATGCAGGGTTCTTGAGGGTGGGTGTTAGCTATTGCGCGCAAGGCGCGAGCGTGGTGAAGGTTGCATCGTGAGGATGATGAGAGGGGTTTGGTTTGAGGTGGCATTGGTATGATATGGCATCTGGAAAGCGCTGTGTCAATGTGCATTCCTGCGCTGAATTACGAGCTAGATGGGTTTCCTTTTGGAGAATATGCCTTTGTTGCATTAAATTAGAAGCCAGATAGACTATATGATAGGCAAAATAAAGGCATTGATAAATCCCTCTAGAATTAATAGAAGCCAGGCGAGTTAACGATAGCTAAACATTATCAATTGTCAGTCTACGAAAGGAAAATGCTTTGCGACACCCATGTTACCTAATGTTACCCTGCTGGTATTTTCCTTAGTACCCCTCCCCAGCCTCGTTTCCTTTCCTGATTCATGAACTTCATCTTGCTCTCAACTCTTTATTCCTGGCCGTGAATTGCGCAAGGCAGTTTGCGACCATCTTTGCGAGGGCGAGCTTCTCTATATGGGGTGCAGCCTCACCTAGCAGTAGGTCATTCGACAATACTCGGGACATGAGTGAGTAACTCAGCTGGGTGAGTAAAAATTCTACTACTCGACTCGTGAGTACCCAGTGCGCAAGATTACTCACTTGCTGAGTACCTAGTATGGGTCTTGGCAACTCAGTTATATCACATGTTTGATTAGCCATTACTTATGTTAAAAACGGGGCGCGACTTCATTGATCAAGACGCCATAACTCCATAACTCCATTCCCATATTGTTGATGTCCTATTCTCAACCTTTCCCAGATAACAAAGGCCATTATCGAGGTTCACTCCACAATATCCAACATTTGGTCTAGAGCTCGCTCTCTGTTGCTGGGATTGAGTAGGAAATATCGTCTGTGATACCTAAGATAGGCTTGCTCTTCCTATAGCAGGAGTAAATACTCATCCATTGACATAGCCAAAGGAAGATTCCCAAGTCTAGTGGCGAGTCTACTTGCTAGCTCTTTAGTAGTCTCATCTTGACATGTCTGCCGAATACTAAGTAGCAAAAGCTCAGTAGACTCTGGCAATTCCATCTCGCTGACCTGTATCGCTGTGCCTAAGCGACTGGCTTCTCGATTGCGACTTGTTATAATCACATGGCCAGGGAGCCAATTGGCAATGAGCTGTAGATAGACGTACCATGATATCAAGCTAACAGGCAGCCCTAGATGCTATGAAATATCCTATATGCTATCCAAGGATTTGCCTCAACGAATATCCTGCTTTGCAAGAAGGGAACTCTAGCTGAAGGATTGCAGATTCTCGCTCGCAACGTACCCCTGCTAGGTAGGCTGCGCACTACTCGCTCAATACTCGGCTCACTCGCCCAGTGGGTTACTCAGCTGGGTGAGTAGCTGAACCTTTTACTCGACTCGGTGAGTGAGGTCAAAACTCAGTTACTCTGTAAAAACCCAGTGAGTACTCGGCTATCACGTGTAAGATTTATGCATCATGTGAACAGTCCCTCATACGATTAATACTGTTTTATGGTTAAGTTAAAGTATTACATCTATCAGCATCACTCTCGCCATCTCCAGTAAGCTGTGAGAATGAATCATGTATATTCCTCTATCTAAGTACCATGATTATCAGAACGCTATTATCTATTATATATGCTTAAGAACATCCCTCCACCTTGCTTGATGAGGCCGGCCAGACCTACTAATACCTAAAGTATTTATAGGGTCTTGACAAGGATCCTCAACTGAGCGGAACGAGCTATGAGTCGAGATAACTGTGTATAGAACTTGTTCATAAAATGTCTCTTGTGTGAGAATATGATCCTATTATAGGTATTAACCTACATGATTCTGGTAATAATCTGGTAATCCTTACTTGTTGAGGTCGCATTTGATTGATTTTGATAGAGACTATCCTTACCCATCCGTGACTTCTTTTTGCAAATGTCTGATGCATGTAAGGATGCCTGTCCCTCAGTGATGGAAAGGATCTGAGTCAGGCAGGTTATGGTCACATGATAAGAGTTAAGGCAGGTTAGCCGAGTCGGACCCGTTTCGGGTACTTAAGGGGATTGACCCAACGGGGGTTCCTCTCCCTCAGTGACGGAAGGTATCTGAGTCGGACAAGTCACAGTCACGTGGTGAGGGTGAAGGCAGGTTAGCCGAGTTGGACCCGTTTCAGGTACTTGAGGAGATTGACCCAACGGGGGTTCCTCTCTTCATCTTTTTTGTATCCTTCGTAGTAGACCTATAGGATAGCATCCGTTTAGCCTCCGACTCGCACTCTCATATGCTATTACTGTGAGCTGGGTGCCCTGTGTCCTTACAATGCAAGATGTGTTGCCATAGACTTTGGGCCAGCAGACTTGATTGCAGGATGCGTAAGGGCCTTCGAACAATAAGTACAAATGACACATGGTTCTCCAGAAAGCCGGTCTGCTCCTTGGTGATAACTTCTCCAGTATTGAGAACTCCGGTTGGTTGAATCCCATGCAATCTTCGTAAGGAGTTTTGTAGTATGATCAGAGTGTTGTTCTGAGTGTTGTTCATATCATCATGATAGCTTCCACCACTCAATGAATATATGATGTGTATCCTTAGTCCATTTGACGAATTGGTTTAATTTGCCAATATACTCAAGGCCTGGAGGGACTTGATTTAATGAGGATAGTCGTTGAGAAGACAGAAAAAAGTCTGAGAATACATCTGCAATAGGATTGTCAGAATCAAACAACTCTTGAGTATTGAGATGACATTTGGCAAATTGCTCAATTATCGGAAGGTTACCAGAAGTCTGGCTACAATGAAGTACTTAAATTTCTCTATAGCCCCTATTCGTGTTGGAAAACCAGATACTCCGGCGCTATAACTTTAGCAACTCAAGTTCTCCTCTAATCTAGCTCCAGGAACAACATATCCTGTGCAGCTGATACCTTAGCCCACTTTTCCTTATCAAACTTCTTAGAGTAGACAAGTAAGAATGCCTCTTTGAACCTAGAACTATGAGTGGATACTTGCAACCATCCATTGTCGACATGATTGTAAGACTTTGGGTACCACTGCGCAGGTCCTGGTAATTGGGCCCACTTATCCAAACTTCCAAGTAAAGTTTGTCCAAACTGCCTGCTCGTACAAACAGAAATATTTATGTGGTGGGATAACTGTTATGGCTATGGTAACATGACATCATGGTTACAGGACCAGGGCCTAGTAACGTGACGTGTGAGTCACAGGGGGCAAGCGGGGTAGGCTGCCATGTGACGGGGCTAATGGATAGTTGCAGAAACTAGTGGATATTGAATAGTTGAGCTATCCACAAACTATCCTGAATATCTAGCTATCCGCCAACTATCCAGATTACCCATGAGGCATGACGCCACTATATAAGTAGATAGTATTTCCTTAGATAGGAGCTTCGTGCTCAACTCAATATAGTATTCTTTACAATACTGTAACATGTTACTTGGAAAGCCTTTGTGTCTACTCCCCTGCCTCCTCTATCAAGTCAACCTTACGCAAGAAACCTCTGTGTCTTCTATTGTTTAGAAGTCAGCGTTACAATAACCTCGTGAAAAGTGCTATAATAAACAATTAGTATTGCCAGAATATTGCTAGGATGATCAGAGACGTACCCTTCCTCTAGATCAATCTACGGCATATACTCAAAGAGACGCTCAGGCTTCTTTGTCAGCTTTCCAGCCTTTCTCGTATATGAGTGGATACAGCTATCCCAGAAATGTTGCCACTTGCGGAAATTGGACTCTTCATGGGCCTATCAACTATTAGTATCACCAGAAGATTACCAGATTATGAGGTAGCATACATCAATGCGCGCTTGAGTTAAGAGAGCCTGGATGCTAGTGATCTCTTCATCAGAAAGCTCATCTGGTAGAACAGCCTCGTCATTTAAAATATCGTCGCGCCGTAACATAAGCTCCAACGCCAAATCGTCTTCAACCTCAGTATCCTCCCATTCACTGTTATGATCGTCATCGATTGGGATACTTGAGATACCCCCAAATGCAGCAAGCTCAGACAGAAGTTGTGGCGGAGTAGATGGTGGGGCTTGTGGAGAAGAAGAAGAGGCGCTAATATTCTTGACTTTCTGATTCACAATGCAAGATGCATGGGTACCCTTCTCAGTCCTGTTTATAGTTAGATTGAGGCTACCAGAGATTACCAGAAGGAACTTACTGAACACGAATACGCTCAACCTTCAATTCATTCTGTAGACATGTCTTGTCTTCAGTAGAGGCAGCAATATACTTTGCAGACTTATATAACTTCTTTAAGTAGTAGCTCAGATCAGCATGGTCAGCCTTGAGTGCTAAGTGAACAGCCTTCTCATCTTCAGTAAGGTTGGAGACGCAGTTGCGAGCTTTGATAGTATTCGCATTAGTGGAGAGTTCTTCAGGTGCCTTGCGTTTCGCCATACTAAACACGTTATTAGCAGAAGATCGCCAGAAGTTCTGGCTATAGAATCAAGATAATAAACTTACTTTAAGTCCTAGTGAAGAGGTAAAGGTGCAAAAGGGAAGAAGAATGGGTAGATCGGAGAGTAACCAAGGAAGGTTGGGTTCTAAGGTCATTGTTATTTTAAAGTTGAAAACAAAAATATTCATCAAGGAATATTCACCTACAAAGAATTACTGTTCCAAAAACAACACCACAATGCGCACCTTCACCTTTCAACCTCTACCTCTTTTCTATACTCTTCTTCTGCAATATTCTTCCTACAAACTTGTCACGGTTCACCAAGGCATAGGGTGCCAGTTGGGTATTATGAATTAAACTCAATCTAGAGAAGGAAGGAAAGAGAAGATGAGCACTCGAGCAGTGGCTCAATCTATATACAGCTATGTTGTTGTGGAGTGAATTCTCTTTAGCGAGACCAGTTCTGAGAATTCACTCCACAACTGAAAACTTCGCTCCAACCCCGGAAAGCTCCCCACACCCCTGAACCCCTACTCGAGCTGCAAGGCGCACTTGATATCGTAACAAAACTCACTGTAAGTACAACTATCTTTTGATCTACTTCTTTGTCTTGTGTTTACTTCACTAACTCACCTTGATATTAGCAAATGGCTCGTACCAAGCAAACTGCTAGGAGATCAACTGGCGGCATAGCACCAAGGATGCCACTTGGATTATGGGCTGGCTCTGGGCTTGGTGGAAAGGAAAAGAAAAAGGCCGTGGGCACAGCAAGAAAAGCTCCAGTTCGCTCATCTCAAGCTAGCAACAATCATGCTCAGAAGGCCACGCGCCGCGCAAAGTCTGGTAAGAGGATTACCAGAGGATTACCAGAACTCCCTAATAAACATATAGGCACCAAGGCTCTCCGCGATATCGAAGACAGCAACTTGATACTAGCCTAATTATCCCAAAGCTCCCATTCCAGCATCTTGTTAGGGAAATCGCAGAAGGCTTCAAGTCCAATCTTCGCTTCCAGCAATCTGCTATCCTAGCTCTTCAGGAAGCTGCTGAATGCTTCCTCATTCGAGAATTTGAGAGTATGATGTTTAAACATAGTGACAGGGACATACCAACAGTTATAGTGACAAACCTCCTCGCTATTCATGCGAAGAGAGTGACAATCCAGGCAAAGGATATGATATTGGTTCAGCGTTTGCGGGATATGATGTTTAATCATGGAGCTGTGGGCTTAATCGATGGAAATGTCTCTCACCCAGGAATGAAGGTCAGATGAGTTCTGGCAACCTTCTGGTAACCTGGTACCTAGGGCCACAGGTTATAGTGTGGACGGTAAACAAAGCTCAGCTCTTCCCCCTTGCTTGGGGCCAGTCGCTCTTTCCCCTATTAGTTGGTCGTTCCTTCTCTCTCTAGGTAGCCGCTCCTTCCATTAGGGGTAGATTTGTATTTAAAAATCGTTCCTTCTCTCTCTAGGTAGCCGTTCCACCATTAGGGGTAGATTTGTATTTAAAATAGTTCTTTGTATTAGATACGTCTTCATAACAACCACCCAAACGCCAAACCCAAACCAACTCCCCAAACCAATCCCCCATTCCCACCCCCTACAACCTAACCACAACATCCACCCCACTCAAATCCTCCAAATCCGCATCCCCCACACAATCATCCTCCTCCATCCTATCACCATCAAACCACAACTCCACGCTCCTCCCCCCCACCTCCGCCTCCCTCTGCGCCCGAAACGCAGCCACGAGATCTGCTATCTTCGTCGTGGCTTTAACCCTCAACTTCACCTCTGGCATATCCTTCGCCCGCAGGATAATCCGAAGTTTCTCCTCTTGCGGCTGTTGTTGCGATGGCGCTGTCTCAGTTGCTGAGCCGCCACTAATACCATTGTTGTCATTCTCGAGACCAAGATGCGCATTCCGCGCCTTTGCTTCCTCAGCAGCCTTGTACGCCTCAAACGCCTCCCTCGTCCAAGCTTCAAGATGCACGTCCCCTGCCTCCCCTCCCCCGCCATCATCAAGCACACCACCCGCGCGACTAATCTTCACCCCCATACTCCCGCACGTACTAGTATCCCACACTCTCAGCCCGCGGTAAGTAAGGAAGATACTAGTTGCAGCTGTGCCGGCGTGGGGAGGCTGCCTTTGGCACCACGCTAGACGCACGTCCTTTAGACGCTGGGAGAGGCGACGCCGGATGAGAAGGGGGGTGGTGTTAGGGAGGGGCGAGGTGATGAGGATCGTGAGTGTTGGGTCGGGGGCGTTAGAGGGTGCGGCTGCTGTGGTGGCTGGTTGGCGACGCGCGGCAGCGATGAGGTCGGCGTACAGTTCGTCGTCGTCTGAAGGGGGGTTGGCGGGTGGAGAAGAGGGGATGGCGATTGGCTCCGGGTTGGTGGAGACGGGTTTGGGCGGTGGAGAGGAGAAGGCGGAGGGGTAGGTTGGACGGGGTGAGGGGGCGGGTTTATCGTCTTCGTCGTCGGAGCTGAGAGAGATTATCTGTGCTTGACTTCGTGTGTTTCGTTGGCTTGGGCCTGGTGAGGCGACGGAGTTGCCGTAGGTGGGGTGTGTGCTGCCCTCTCTCTCTATCGGTGCTTCTTCGTCGCCGTACTCGGATTCTCCAGCTGGTGTGTTGCTTCTGTCCTCACTGTTACTATTAGATCAAGTCGTTCGATAACAATGTAGGAATACACATACCTGCCACTCCTCTTCCTCCTCCTCTCATTCTCACTATCCACCTCCTCACCTCCCTCCCCACCCCCCACCTCCCCGCCAACAACCCTCTCCCTCTTCTCCCTCCTCGCCCTTTCCAGCTCCCTCACCCTCTCCACCTCCATCTCCCTTTGCACCTCCCTCTCCCTTTCCCTTTCCCTCTCCCGCTCCCTCTCCCTCTCCCGTCGCTGCACCTCCACATTCTCAGCGAAAACATCCTTCGCCCGCGAGAAAAAGCCAATCGCATCCGTCGTCGTCGCCGCCGCTGCACCACCCCGGTTCCGGTTCTTGAATAGCGGTTTCCGCACTGCTGGAGCGGGCGCGGGCGCTGGCGCTGGAGCGGCGCTGGTGGGGGAGGCGAAGGGGGAGGCGAAGGGGGAGGCGAAGGGGGAGGAGGGGTCGGGTGTCGACATTGTGGCTGCGTGTGCGCTCGTTTGGTTTGCCGTTGGTATTATAAAAACGCAGTATATTCGATGAAGCAGTGCAAGTAGCCGCGCAGTACGTCCGTATCGTAAATCCCCGCGGCTTCGTGCGTGAGTGCTCGTTGCTCTTGGGCGCGGGTGGGGAGGTACCTGCCTGTTAGTTTAGCAGCCAGCCTTGCGGTAGATCGATCGGTCAGTACGTGCGCCAACAGCCGACACTAAGAAAGCTCGCCCCGCGAGACCAGCGACGTTGAGCCTTTCTTCTGTACCGCCAACACAGCAGCAACTCACCGACTCCTGCTAGCAATTGAACAGCGAGATCAACGAAGCTTCTACGCCGGACAGAATACGGAAGATAGAACGAGCAAAGATGGAGAATGGAGGCGCACCACAGCAGGGGGAGGGGAAGGACCCGAGCGGGTTCTTGGGGGAGATCATCAATAGCGCTGTGACTGTCAAGTTGAACTCTGGGGTCGTGTATAAAGGTGCGTGTCTGCGTTATATTAACCCCCATCCACCCTCCACCCCCATCGTCCAGGTGCCCTAGCCCATAGCCTATCCTGTCGCGACCTCCCTCCAACCCCCCACCGCTGTCCCCCCCCCAAACTACCTGCCATGAAACTAACAACCCCCCAAAGGCTCCCTCCAGTCCGTCGACGGATACATGAACATCGCCCTCGAGAACTGCACCGAGCACGTTGACGGCGCGCGGCGGCGCAGCTACGGTGACGCGTTTATCCGCGGGAACAATGGTGAGTCCGCTTCTTACTTTGCGGCTCTTTGCGATTTCGGGGTTTTTTGAGCTGGTGTGGGTTGTGCGCTGTGGACTATGGGGTTGGTGTGGGGATGTGGGGGTGTGGGAGTGCGGGGGGAGATAGTGTGTGTGTGTGAGGATTGAACTGACTGGGTTTAGTGATGTACATCTCCGCCGACTGATTTCGAGACCTGCCTGGGCTGGGTAGGGCGGTACTATATGAGGAGCTGGCGAGAGGAGAGGGCGGATAGATGAGATGAGGGTAGCGGGGAGTGGGGGAGCTGGGGGGAGAAGAGCGTCGAGTCCCGCCATCTACGGGTCTTCCACAACCACGGACGATACATGATTAGAGAGGGAGGTGACGACGATGCATCGCCATGTGTAGGTGCACACTGATGCGTTTCTGCACCAATGGAGCATTGAAATCGTTGATCAGTCGCTCTGCGGTGGAGAGTTGCCATCTGAGAGGCGAGTTCGGGGGCATAGATATCTATGATATACCAGGAGCAAAAAAATACATTTCAACGTCCATTTTCTGTTCTGTACCGTGCAATCCAACCATCAGAAGAAATACAACGCAGCTTCTTGCGTTGCTGTTTTGCTGGCTCGGTATTGCTACAGTTACTTCTCGCATCACTTCTCTGCGGGGTATTCATCACATCTCCACTGCATTTTATGAATACCACTATTCAACTTCCTACTCCTTACACCCTCCTCCATGTCACATCACATCTCACAAGCACCCTCACACCCCCTCAAAACCCTCGCATCATATCGGAAGTAATTCCTACTCTCCCAATAATCACATCAGCATCTCTCACCCCCATCTATCAACCCCTCTCCACATACTATTAAGTCCCCCCACCAACCCAACCCACGTACTATTAAGTCCCCCACCAACCAACCCACAATCCGCAGATATAAACCCACCCCCAAATCAATCACACAAGAATAAACCCCCCACCACCACTGCCTCTATAAGCCAAAGCCAGTCAATCACCCCATCATCCCCTTACAAAAGCGCAGCTCCCACAGCCAAAACGCCCAACAATCCCAACACGCTCCCCGACACCACCGCAGCGGCACCAGTATGCGTAGCAGTCGGCGTGACACTCGGGCGCGTAGCACCAGTTCCATTCCTAGCCGATCCACCACCCCCAGCACCACCAGTAGGGCTCGCACTCCCACCTCTCGAGCCGCCGGCGGAGTTCACCAACGCAAAGTTAGCACAGGCAATCCTCGTCTTATCAGAAGCATGCACAACAATGCTCCTATTGCCGATAAACGCCGGAGCGCCAACAACGAGGCTGGTGAACGCGTCATCGAGTTCGCCTACGATGGCGCCGCTGGGGAGCTTGTCGCCGATCTTGCCGGAGAGGTCGCCGACTTGGCAGGCGGAGAGCTTGCTGGTGTCGCAGGCGGGCTTCTCGCCGGCGTGGTAGGGGTCAAGGTGGGCGCTGGTGGAGGCGCAGAGGCCGGTGGCGTTGACGGGGTTCTCGTGGATGTGGAAGGCTAGGGGGTGTGTTAGTTGGTGGGGGTGGAGGGGGGGGGTAAGTGGGACATACTGAAAGGTCCGCCCTCCTTGGGAAGGTCGAATTGGTACTTGATGCTGGCGCCGTTGCCCTGAGGGCCAGCAGCGATCTCAACAAAGCCCGAGACGCCGTTCTTGTTGTCGGGGGCGATCTGGGCTTTGTAGGTCACGTCTGTTGGGTTGCCGGTGACCTTGGGGGCGTCGGAGGCGGCCTAGGGGGTGGTTAGCTGGGGTCAATTGGGGTGGTAGGGGTTGAGGTCTCTTACGGAGGTGGCCACAAGGGCTGATGCGACAGCGAGCATGAGTGTGGAACGCATGGTGTCGGTTGGTGAACTGGTTGAGGTTGTGTTGGTGAGTGATAGAGGCTGTTCTAAAGGGAGGTGGGTGGTAAGTCCGTGTGCGTTTGAAATGTGAAGGAGCAAGGAAGTTGCGAGCTCTTTAAAGAGGAGAGAAAGTGGTTGTGAAGGCCGGAAGGGGAGGTGAAATGTAAGTGAGGAAGCAAGGGAGGAATTCTCGTCGGCAAGTAATTTCGAGGTGAAGTTGTGCAGTGTAAACAAACGAGAAGGCGTGATACAGCCGTCTCACAGCGTCCGAGTCGGGCAAACCAACGTACCTGCTAGATCAAATGGCTGACATAGATTGATATTACAGGTATCCAATCTCAGGGCGGGCAGGAATGGGAGTGGCGGTGTGAATGAAAGCAGAGTGAGGTTGAAGAAATACAGAGTGAGGTTATGTGGGACGACAAAGATACGTGGGGCCAACTACTTATACAGTGTGTTACAGTATGAATACATTCACACGGTCAGCGTTGTATTCTCACTGCAAGGCTCCAAATATTTATTCTAAGTATAAATGGAAGGAATGATGGACAGAACGCCGATAGGACACGCTGTACCCGCACGACAAGGGAATATGCATTCGCATGCGGAGAAGAAGGAGGAGGCGGGAGGCGGTATTGAGAGAGCCTGTAACAAACAACCGCCCATCACAATATACAAACGAAATGAAAAGAGACTTGGCCGACAAAATACGCTGATCTGCCCCAGCATTGGAGGACTCTACGCGGGCTATGTTTTATCATATGCTATATGCGGATGAGATATACATAGTAGTCTGTTAATACCCTGTCGTGCCGTGGGATTATGGCTTGTAATGTATTTCAGGGGCTGCTGGATCAGGGGCCAACAATCAATGATAGGCGACCACCAACAAACAATGCCTGTCTGTGCAGGAAATGCGGCGGTAAAGAGCGCATGGCGCCAGTTGTTTTGCGGCGGTAGACTTGGGGTAAAGGTGGCGCGTTATAGAGTTACAGATGGAAATAGACTGGGTGTTGTTCTTTTGAAGCCGTGGCGTCACGGGATTGGAAGGGGGTGGTTGGGCTGTGATACCTCAGCGGCTAATAGGCGTGATACCTCGGCGGCTAAGATGTGATAACTCAGCGGCTAATAGATGTGATGGTGATTATTATTCCTCCCACCACACTGGAAACCCATCCATATTTCCACAACCCCTCCAACCACAAAGGCGCAGTATCCCCAAAGCATACATACATCCGTAAGCCGTAAGCCAGAGAGCGCCACATACACATAATTTACGGCCTCGACGCCATTCGTGGCGCGGCACGGGCGACGACGTGTGGCTGACGTGGCTTGGCACACTCACTTTACCGTACGGCGCCAAAAGTTTCCGTACGAGCGTCAGTTGGTATGGGCAAAGCACAGACCCGTACGGAAACTAAGATTAAGCATTGGCTGCCGCTCTAAACCACGACTAGCTTAGTATGGGGTTGTGGTTCTTTAATGTAAGGGGTTTTATGACGCCCTAGGGGATGGGGTAGTTCTTACTGTGTGGCGGTCAATTCAGTGGACTTGCCAGACCAGCCGGGTTGGAGGGGGGTACGCATGTAATGAGCCGCAGAGATATCCTCGCGTCATCGATGGCGGGCACGTAGTTGTGATCTTGGTATTTGAATCGGGTCTTCACACCCCTGTATTACCGACTACAGACAAAACTTTCTCATTGCTCATGGTACGACATACTCATACGACATACTCATACACCCTCCAGCCGCTACAGGCTCCTTCCGGACTCCTGGTCCTTAACGCCGCGCTCCCCCTTCCCTTCTTTCCTTTCTTCACTATCCCATCCCATCCCATCCACCGGCGTCGCCGCCATCATCTATACTCTCTTTCTTCCCCCGTCTTTCCATCTTTCATTTCCTTGTAAAAATCCCATCCCTCGAGTTATGCCAAATCGAAACAAAGTATATCTCACAAACCCCAACGAGTGTGTGTATAAAAGGTGGACAATGAAGCGAAAGAACGGGGGGGGGGTATAACGAAAAGAAAGTCAAAAGCCACAAAACACACAAATACAAAATCCCACACGACACTCATCCAATCCCCAGCAAATCATCCTCAAAACCCGCATGCCTGTGAACCCCGCTCCCTTAGGCAACAATAGCAACACCCTCCTCCTTCCTCTCCCCCCCAACAAGCCTCACACTCCCCCTCGCCCCCTTCACAATCTCCCCCCTCTCAACCCGATCCTGAATCATCTCATCAAGCATCCTACTCATCTCATCCACACTCTTCCTCTTCCCCCCCTTACTCGTCGGGCTCGTCGGCACCGGACTCATCGGCATCGACGTCGGCATCGACGCCGCCATCGGATCCGCCACCACCGCCCCCGCCGCCGGGGTAGCAGGTGCCGTCACCGCTCCCGTCCGCGGCGCAGCACCAGCAGGCGCAGACGCAATACTGACGTGGTTCCCCGCTGACCCCATCCCGAGACCAAGTCCAACCTCCCCCCTCCCGAGCGCCGCAGCAGCACTGGCGAGATTCTCCGCCGTCAACACGCTAGTACGTCCCGTAGCCTCGCCGCTTCGCTCCGCAGCATCGCGTGATCGAGCTGCTGAACGGAGCGCGGTGAGCATGTGATCTTTATCATCCAGCCTCGCTCTCAGATCCAAGATCTCAGCATCCTTATCGCGCAACAACGCAGAGACGCCGGTATCCTCACCCCCCGCAACCGCCCCGGCCGCCACCCCGCTCTTGCCGCCGTTAAACCCAATACTAGCGCGGGAATGGCTAGATCGGCGAGCTTGAAGGAGCCGCTTCTCGAGGGTACTGATATACCGGTTCTTATCCGCCACATCCGCCTGCAACGCCCGATTCTGCGCCGCAAGCGACGCCGTCCCATCACCATACTCCCCAAGACTATCCTCATCATCATGCCCCTCATGAAGATGCGGGGTACTCGACCCTCCCCCCCCCTTATCCGACGCCGGCAGCTGCCCCAGCGTCGAGTGACTCGCCATACTCGGCGACCTTTCAAGGGACTTCCTCAAATCCGCCGTGAGGGAGGGCGCGTACGACGAGCGCGCCGACGCGAGGTTGGTGTTGGACGTCATGGTCGATAGGCGGGGGTGATTCCCCATCGACGAGAAGGACCCGGAGTTGACGCCCGTTGACTTACTCGAGATGATCAGGCGGTTGAGGTGCTCGATGCGCTCCTTGAGCGCGGTGCGCGCGAGTTGCATCTCGAGCATCTGCTCTTCGTGGCGCAGCTCGGCTTCCTTCTCGCGCTTGCTTTCTTCTTCGTCGTCTTTGGACCTGGCTTGTCCGTCGAGTTGGCCGCGTAGATCTTGGATCTCGAGACGGTATCGCTCTAGGAGCACGCGGGCGCCACCATCGCCGCCGGCACCGAGAGCTTCTTCTGCTTTCTTGGCGTGCGAGACGATGTTGTTCTTCGCGCGCGACGCGAACTTGAGCGTATTCAGGGTCTCGCCGGTGTGCGTGTTCGCCGCGGCCGCGGACCCGACAGAGCCGATTTGGATGGTGCAGAGGATACTGACGAGGGAGTCACCCGAGAGTGCGCCCTGCAGCAGGCGCGTGAGCTTGCTGTCACGGTAAGGGAGATGCTTGCCGTTCTTATCCATCGGCCTGCCCTCTTTATCCTTGTCGCCTGACAGCCTCGCGATGACCGTTCCGAGCGTGAGAAGACTCTTGTTAATATGCGAGCCCTCCTCGCGGCGCTCCTTCGTCTCCGCTGCACGTTCCGAACCAGCAAGATCGATCAGACTCAGAGTTGAGACTCTGACACCACCGGGGACGAGCCCAGAGCGCTTGTTATCCGACATAGCACCGTTGCCGGGAAGTCGCTCTCGACTCTCGACGACAATCTGCACGACGGCGTGACTGCGAGAACTGCGGGCGTTGAACTGCGTGCTGGATGTCCTTCTGGCGTGGTCACCACGGGCAATAACACGAAGAAGTTGTGTCGGGCTCTGCACGATCTCCTCCTTGAGGGGACTGGCGTAAACGCCTCGCTTTGCGTCCTCGCGGAGCTTGATTTCCTCCTGGACGGGTGCATTTGCGCCAAGAGCGTTTGCCGGTGGGGGGTTGAGCAGATCGTGGATCTTTTCATTGTAGATTTCGAGGTAGCTAACGCGCAAGAGGAACTCGCGTGATGGGGTTTCGCGAATGTAGGAGAAGATGTCGGTGATGGCGAGGGGAATGACACCAGGGTTTGTCGCCGTGCCCTGCATCGAGAATGTCTTTCCCGTACCCGTCATTCCGTATGCGAAGACCGTTCCGTGATAGCCCTCCATGACTCGTCGTACTAATCGCTTGGCCGAGCCGTCGTAAACGCGGGAATTCGTGTCGTGTGTCGCAAATACATTATCTGTGTGATATTAGCATAGTCCATAGATTCTTAATGTAGCAGTCTCACCATAATAATGGTCGCCACCCGCTGGCCCCTTGTACGCAACGAGCGAGCGCCTCCCATCCACCATCCACTCCCCATCAGTCTTGCTTGCGCCCGGCGCATCGCCACCTGCATCCGGCCTCACACGCACGCTCACAATGACATTCCCCTTCCCCTCTGCCGACTTCGAGTCGCCATTAGCCAGCTCCGCCGAGGTCTGCCTGCCCCTCCCGGCATCCAGGCCGTCTTCGTATGTACTCGCCGTGGACTCCATGTCCTGCGCCGAAGAGCTCCGGCTCTGTGGCGGTGAAGGGAGGCTGAGGAGGCAATCCGATCCTCGCGCGCCTGGCCCGCTCGATATAGATTTTGTAGTTCCGCTGCCGTTGAGCAGACTGGGCGTGGAGTTCCCCGCATAAGCCAGTTGCGTGCCAGGTCCAAGCGAGGTCTTCGGTTTCTGCCGCAACGGCTTTGAGCCCGAAGGTGTCAGAGGGCTGCTCTCCATCGAGTCTCGATTTGACGCCGCTCCTGCGCCTGCAGAGAGTGGACTCGGTGGTAGACTGGATGTGCGCGTGCCCCGCGGCGGCTGTGGGAAGGAATGAATGCTGATCGTCTTCCTTATCGTCTTGCGCTGCGAACTCGTCCCGGCGGGGAGAGTCCTCAGTTTTGGCAGTGTCTTGGGCAAGGCGAGACCTGTCTCGGGCGGGCCGCCTGACTGCGATCGAAGCCCGGTCTTGGGGAGGGGTATTGTGAGGTCGTACGAGTCAGTGAATGTGGGTATGGCACCAGTGCTCCTTCTCGTCTTCGTCGTTGGGATTGCGGGCAAGGCGGATGTCGGGGGCCCATAGGACGGCCGCGAAGGTCGTGGTATGGATGCCGCCATAGTGTATGTTTGGATTCGGCTCACTTCAGGCGGGCAGATGTGTGGTATATGCGGCAAAGTATGACAGCAAACGGGAAAATCGCATGAAATCCACCATGAATGTGCGCGAATCCTCGTGTCGGCGCTGAATCCGCAGTCCAGGGTGGATCAAAAGCAGTAGAGTGCGCTCAACCTACCTCGTCGATGCACGTGGATATGCGGTGCGGCCCGGTGAAAATGGAGGCCCAGTTGTCGCACTAAATCCGCAGTATCTTCCCAGAAATGAAGAGTCTGTCTGCTAGAGAATGGCAGAGTGTCGTCTATCTCCTGGGTCGAATGGGAATGGCAGAGTGTCGTCTATCTCCTGGGTCGAATGGGAATGGCAGAGTGTCGTCTATCTCCTGGGTCGAATGGGAATGGCAGAGTGTCGTCTATCTCCTCGGTCGAATGGGAATGGCAGGGAATGGCAGAGTGTCGTCTATCTCCTCGGTCGAATGGGAATGGCAGGGAATGGCAGAGTGTCGTCTATCTCCCCTCGGTCGAATGGGAATGGCAGAGTGTCGTCTATCTCCCCTCGGTCGAATGGGAATGGCAGAGTGTCGTCTATCTCCCCTCGGTCGAATGGGAATGGCAGAGTGTCGTCTATCTCCCCTCGGTCGAATGGGAATGTGTTGTGTTTCTGTCGTTGGGGGGGGGAAGGCGGAGGAGACGGGATGAGGAATAGATAAGGCGGTTTGGTTGGTGGTCCCTGAGAAAGGAGGTCACTCTGGTAGGTTTGGGAGCAAGTGTGGTGGTAGTGTGGCGTGGTGGGGTGGGTGTTTAGTGGTAGGGGTAGTGGGACTGTAGGTTAGTTGGTCGGTTGGTTGGTTGGTTGGTTGGCTGGATGCGTGCGAACGTTGGACGTGCATGCAACGGGTGCGTGCGACTGGTCGTGCGCGAGTGCAGGGCAGCGATGGCAGTAGCGGGCAGGATGGGACTGTTGGGCACTCGGCGGGCGGGGTCGTAGTCTCACCAAGGAGACACCAAGGCGGCTTGGTAGCGAGAAACGCAGGCACGGCTCAGGCACGGCAGAGCGGCGGGGGGGCACAACCTGGGGTGAAGCCGAGGAAGGTCGCCGTCGTCGCGTGGCCGTCGTCGTGTCGGCGTCGTCGGTCGGTGGTTATTGTAGTCTATACTGACCAGTAGAGTAGACGCCCACCGCCTCATTTCATGCCTCCATACAGTAGAGTATACGCCCAACGCCTCATCCCATGCCTCCATACAGTAGAGTATACGCCCAACGTCTCATCCCATGCCTCCATACATCCCATCAATCCCTCCAGTAGAGTATACGCCCAACGCCTCATCCCATGCCTCCATACAGTAGAGTATACGCCCAACGCCTCATCCCATGCCTCCGTACCGAGTCTCCGTCCCCCTTATCCCTCTCCCTCCCACTCCATTGGCCACCCCCCCCCCCGGCCAAGAAAGGGGAAATTCCTTCTCCACGCACAACGGTCCAACCCACCCCGCTGAGACTTCTCCCATCTCCACCCCGCTGAGACTTCTCCTATCCCCCCCACGCTGAGACTTCTCCTATCTCCCCCCCGCCGAAGTTACGCGACGAAAGAGGCGTTCAGCCACAGGGTGAAGTAGAGTGACCTATCCTCCACCACTCAACCACGGAATCACTACGCACGCCCATTCCACCCCCCAATCCGCGCGTCTCCCATCACGTCGCCGCGCGCCGTGTCACAGTCGCACAACCCATCCTCCCCCTCCTCCGCCATTCCCCTCCCTTTCATCCCTATCCAGTAATTCCCCCGCCCCGGGCACACTCGGTCCACACGCGGTCCCCCTCCGGCCCGTCACAAGCCCGTGTGATGAGGAAACACAAATCGACCGGCCCCGAGTGGTGCAATGATGACACGCTAGGGATGCATGCAAGGTAAACACGAACGTGGGTGCGCAGGTCCAAGGTGGGATACCTGAAAATGGCAAGATGGGGTGAGTGCCCGTCTTAGACGCCATGACGTTTTACCCGTCTCCGACACGCTCCGGCTTTACATTCCTGATCAGGCCATGCCAAGCCGACCTAGAATATATTAGCATTAGACGTACGTAACCCTGTTTAGTGCTTACTGTAGTTTTACTGGAAAACCTAAATAGGCAATATAAAATGAGTCGGGATCGATTGACCTTGACTGATTTGCTATTCCGCTTATTTTGTATGGTAGAACAAAAGCGGGCTAAGTCCCTGCCCTAGGTTTGAGTGATCGGATGAAGTAGAGTGCTTACGCCTATTACCCCTTTTCCGACCTCCACTTTACTTATAACTTATCTTTACCACGTAGCTACTATATTACTTCAATTCAGAGATAGTTATAGTAATTAATACCAAAGACCTAGAACTAATGTGCTACTGTTCTGGTTATTCCGCGTAATCGCCACCATGGAGACCATCGGTGGCGATTACGGCAGTTATACACAACTTAACACCCCTAGACCCGACTTACTTATGAGTATTATAAGTAAAACTAGAGCTTACAGGCCTAGGGTAGCCATACTCCTAGACTGGTAGCTTATAAATTCTAGTACAATAGTCTAGAGCAGGTGGGTAAACCTAGACCTAGAGACTGCTCTTTACATAGTCTTGGCCTGTCTTGCGTATCTAGGGCGTTAGACAACCTATGTTGACCTTTTGAGACAGTCTTAGGCATGGCTTTCAATAGTCTTTGACGACATAATGGGTTACTTGGTACACAAATTCAAAAGCTTACTAGAATGGGGGATTATTGTCGGAAAAAATACGATGCGCACCCCTTTGGGTTTGGCTGCCAAGGGGCCACCAAGTGGGCTGGCCCCAACCCCCCTGTAGCCACCCCATCAACGCGCTCGCGAGGCCTCAGAAGGTGTTGTAATATGTCACATGATCTCAGCACCACTTCCCCGCAATTTCAGGCAGCAATAGATAGACAGGAATACACACGCATATTACTCAACAGTTATGAGCCCGGAGCAACTCCAAGACGCATTTTGAAGCCTATAGAAACCCGAACGGACCAAAATCAAGTCCTGTGTCCTGGAGTCGAAAAAACCATCATTATGGCGACCCTACAGAAGGCGGGGGTGGTCCTCACAAGCCCTAGAGACTGGGACGAGTGGATAGAGACTATCAAAACTGCTTCAATGAAGGCAGGAGTATGGGGGTATATCGATCCATCAATCGAGGACCCTCCTACACTCCTACAGCCCGTTCGACCTATTCCTGAGTTCGTACGGAGTGCCACGCAAGCTGGTGGTGGTGTTACTGCTCAAACAAGACCTGGAGTGTCAACAAGAGCTTCAGGTAGCCAGACCATCCAACCTTCAGTAGAAGGCCAACAGCAATTAACGCCAATTACGTACGCATCTCTTACAGAAGATCGGAAGGAACAGCTTCGAAACCTACAAGCTGATTTCCAATATGAGCGCAAGGTGTGGGAAAAGCAGGAGGAAGCAATTCAGGGGCTTCGCTCTAAGATCCAAGAAACCATCAAACGCGACTTCCTACCCTATACCTACAATTGCGATACTCCGTACGATATGCTTAGAAAGCTACGAGACCGATTTGCACCTACTCAAAGAGCTAGAATCGGAGAATGGAGACTAGAATGGCAAAAGGCTGCGAAAATGCAAAGAGGCAAGGACCTTGAAGACTGGCTCCTAAACTGGGAGAATCTATACACTCAAGGCCGTACGCTACAGGCAACAGAGGTTATCGACCCTCACGACGCTATCTATACCTTCCTTGATGCAATAGGACCTTGCGAATTCCGAGGACCATGGAAACACAAGCTAGAGAAGCAGACAAAGTCGTACGAATTTGAGGAGGTCCTACGACAGTATAGAACCAACCGTAGGCAAGAGAGATTCACCCAGAAACCTAGGGGGGAACATGGAGTTTTCGCACTACAAAAGGATGACAATAGCGACCTACAGCCAATGCTCCAAGGCCGTACGAACAACCTACAACAAGGTCAGCAAGGTCAGAGAGGCAGAAAACAGAAAAATCAGGCTCGACTAGACTGCCCTTGCGGAACAACACACAAGTGGCGGGACTGCCTCTATGTGATGAAGTCAAAGCATACGAGGCAATGGCGCCCAAATAAAGAGATTGAAGCTAAAGTAGAGGCCTATATAAGTGACAAACCAGGATTCCAGTACGTTATCCAAAAGGCAGAACAGAACAATTTCAACAACCCGAATGGAGTACAATCCCGTACGAATACAGATCCACCTATGTCTTTCACTACAGTCCTCCAAGTCTCCCAAGGACTAAAGCTGAAAACCTCAGCCTATGAGCTCTCTAAAAGCATAATTCTCAACTCTGGAGCTACAATTCACGTCTGCAACGACCGTACGAGGTTCTACAATATCCAAGAATGTCAAGATAATAGCTACCTCTTAGCTGGAGACCAAAGGGTGAAGATTGAAGCATTTGGGTCTGTAGATATTACAGTCCAAAACGGGGAGGATAAGAAGTCTCCACGGACTATCACCCTTACAGATACAGCTCTCGTTTCATCCTTCCACACTTCAGTCGCTTCTCTTAGACATCCAAAAGGGAGTTCATTGGAATACCGCTGCACAAGGACTTACGTACGGAGATCAACCGTTCTGCAACACTCCAATGCTTCATGGACAATGGGTTCTTGAATACATCAAAAATGAGCCTACCCGAGCTGTTTATAGCACTCAGGATCAACAGGACAACGTTGTCCTATCTTCGTATGGACCTCGTAAGGACCTAAAAGGCACTGCAAAGGAATGGCATAACTGCATGGGACACCTAAACCAAAACGCCATTAGAAAACTCCAAGAGAAGACCGCTGGAGTTATCGTCACAGACCTAGACTCGTACGATACTCAGTGCGAAGTATGCCGACTTACGCATGCTACAAGGCAGATTTCTAGAAGATCTACACCACGCTCAAAAGTGCCATATGAGAAGGTCCACCTTAACCTAATCCAAATGCCAGAGGCGTACGATGGCAGCACACAAGCCTTACACTTCCTATGTGATAATTGCCGCATGAACCACGTCTATACTATTAAGGATAAAACACAAGGAACGCTCCTACAGACGATTAAGGACTTTGTGAGCTACGTACGGAGAAGATGGGGGTTCCAAATCCGCATATTCCACCTAGATGGTGAAGCCTCACTTGGAAATGAATGGGAGGGTTGGATTAAGGACGAAGGATATGAAATCCACATCTCTCCACCCTATACAGCAGAGCCGAATGGAGGAATAGAGAGGTCAGGCCGTACGATAATCACACGATCACGCGCACTTAAAGAATCAGCCAACTTACCAGAAGGAATGTGGCCTGAGATTTTCAAAACAGCAGGGTACCTCATAAACCGCTCACCATCGTCAGTCATAAACGATGAAACCCCGTACGGACTTCTACTCCAGTCCTTACCTACAGAGAGCCAAAAGCCAGAGCTACTTAAGCCATTACTCTCTCATATTCGCGCTTATGGCTGTAGAGCCTATGCCCTTATTCTAAACAAGCCAAAGCTTGAGAGGATACAGAGGAACGCCCAAATAGGCTACCTAGTTGGCTATAACTCTACAAACATATTCCGCATTTGGGTTCCGCAACTTAAAAGGGTTATAGTTACAAGAGACGTTACCTTTGATGAGACAAAGGCTTATGACCCTTCGTACGAGGCTCAGCTTGTCCAAACAGAGCTCGAAAAGACAGTTCAGGTCATTGAAATACCAGATATTCAAGATCAAGAAGATGAGGAGTTTGAGGGGGAACAACAGCCTCAGAACGGGACAACAATTCCGTACGAATCAGAGGCAACAAACACCTCCTCTCCTCAAGAAGAGCCGCCTACTCAGAAGGACCACGGAGC